ACAAAGCACATGCCTGCAATAGTTACATTGTAGCGCAGCAGGAGAGAGTGGTTTCATCATGGTAGCACATTCAGAGATCGATTTATAGCCATCAATCTAAAATAATTCATAGACGGACAATATTAATATGAGATGAAAGGCAATTTAAGTTCTTAACGAGTTCAGGAAGCGCTAGAGCTCTGTAAGACGTTCACAGCGATGGGGGCAGACATTTTGATCAAGAGAGACCTTTAGAAAATATTCACATTTTCTCTAACACTAAACATACAAATAAGTATTTTACAGTTATAAGGAAGGTGAAACCTTATAGTTAGTCGTTTTATAATTTGATTACGCTATATTTAAAAAGCATATAAGTCATTTCAAGGCTTATTCATACAGTTTTGTTGAATATGAAATACATAATATAAATTATTTCATATTTTTATCATATTTGTACTGTGTACTTGAGCTTGTGTCCTCAAAAGTCACCTCAGCAATTTGTAACTATTTTACCAGAAAGATGAGATTCTTTGAGTATGCAGCATTACTAGTTATTTTTTATGGCCCTCTCATGATGAATCATTACTTTTGGGGATTACATAGATTACATTTTCGAATACATTTAGTTACATTAAGTGTTTTTAAATTCCCATGTATCGAATGAAAAATACAAGTTAAATGGGTTTCCATCGCATTTTCAACTCTACTGATGGCTTTGTCACAAAAACTGTTGTGTTTTATAGCAAATGTGCCAACTCCTGTTTTAGCACATGCGCTCTAGCCAACATTTTGCACCTACATTATGAGATTATTATGGATAAGAGCGATATTATTTGTATTTGTCAAACGGTAGCCAATCATCGATCATCATGTCACCAGAATAAGACCCTCGATATTTATTGGAAAGGAGCTTCAAGCTCATCACCTTGCACATTCACCACCTTGTGAAATTCATAATAATTTATTTAATCTGTAGCCTAATAAACTGCATGCTTTTCCGAGGCGTAGTGGGAGGACCACACAACATATCATCGCTTGACTCAAAGTTTACATCGATATGATGTTTATTATATCAACATTTGCGCATAAAGGCTTTTCCACCGCCATTTCTCTCATAATTAATTTTGACACAAAAAGATCCCACCGTGTCGAACAAACTTTACGTGTTTCTGCGCACGAGTTTAATAATTGATTGAATTTATATAGAGCTTTTCTACCAACTGAGGTACTCAAAGCATTTTACATAGTAAGGGGAAACTAACCTCATCAATGTGTAGCACCCACCTGGGTGATGCATGGCAACCATTTTTGTGCCAGAACGCACATCAGCTGGAGAGAGATATTCAAGTTAGGAACGAGGGGGATGATTAGGTGGTCATGATGGAATGGGGCCAGTTTGGGAATTTAGCCATGACACCAGGGTTAACACCCCTACTCTTAAGATAAGTGGCATGGGATTTTTAATGACCACAGAGAGTCAGGACACGTGTTTAATGTCCCTTCTGAAAGACAGCACCCTATGCAGGGCAATGACCCCTTCACTGCCCTGGGGATCTCCTTAGACCAATGGGAAGAGTGTCCCCTACTGGCTCTCCAACACCACTTCCAGCAGCATCTGGTCTCCCATCCAGGAACTGACCAGGACCAACCCTGTTTAGCTTCAGAGGTAAACCAGCGGTGGGATGCAGCTGGTGCAACGTCGCCATGACATGGACTACAAGCGTTTATCGAGGATTTCTATTGGGGAAGCAGTTTTTGCCTCTCTTCATACTCTTTGATTGCACCTTCCTAGGCCTCACCATTTCACGGGAATTTGCATTTTAATTTGGCCTTACGGAAGAAGAGGAATAATAATAATAATAATGAACGCCAACAAATACAATCGGGTTTCACCAGCTTCGCTGCTAAACCCCTAATGATGTCATGGCATGTCATGTGGACATATATACCTTGTTGCAATATAAGACGAGTAAATTCCACACTAATTCCACACAAGACTATGCATTACACAGGCTGTTTCTGCCAATCAACATCCAGGATCCAAACTACCCGGTTTATAAATAAACGTATAGCATGAGTAAAAATGGGTGGAAAGAATAAATAATATGATTAGCTATTTTGTAGAATATGAATGAACGTATATTCTGCACATTACAAATTACATGCAGTGGGTATGTATTTGAGGGGTTTTCACTAGTTACCACAGCCACAAAGTCAATATTGGCTATATCGTACAAATTCATGAAAATATTTGCTTTTTGGTCTTAATCTAAGGTTAGGATTAGGCGTAAAATTAGGGTTAGGTTTAAAATCAGATTGGAAGAAGATACATTTTAGAAATAGGCGGGGTTTATGACTTTGTGGCTGTGGTAACTAGTGACGACCGTATTTGAGTTATCTTGTCTGCATCAGCGTCCTTCCGGCTTCCAAGACTCGGACCGAAAAAGGGTTGTCACTAGTTACTACAGCCACAAAGTCAAAATTGGCTATATCGTAAAAATTAATGAAAACAAATATTCGCTTTTTGGTCTTAATTCAGGGTGAGGTTAACAGTGTGGTTAATGTTACGTTTAAAATCAGACTATGAGAATAGAAATAGACGGGATTTACATAATTATGACTTTGTGGCTGTGGTAACTAGTGAGCCCAACGGAAAGAAAGCATTGGCTGTGATGCCGCTGGATGATGGCTGCTTTCGGGATCCTAAGTTACGAACACCGGCCACTGAAGCGGCCACGACTCGGACCTCCGGACGTTTATCCTCAAGACCCAAAGCAAAAAGAGGTCAGAGACTTAAATCGTTTCTCAAACCTACGTTGCAAAGAGAAATTGACACAAAGGGCCTAGCTACCGTCGTTATTTGGAAAGGAGTCCCCTTCCCTTAGCTAGCTAGCTACGGTTGCTAACGTTAGTTAGTCCAAGACGGCTATCAGGCCCAAGCCAGTGTCTCTAGCAATAACAATGAACAGCTACTTGGCTTGTCAGTTTGTTAGCTCGCACTGAAAACATCAACCCGGTAGCTTAATAACAGTAGCATTCTAGCTCGTAGTTAGCTAGCCAACCTTTGCTAATTTAACCAAAATGTTAACTTTACGACAAACATAATTTGGCCATATTTCACGTTAGTATTTCAAATTATTGCAGGAACCATTACTTGCATGGGTGCAGATTAGTTCAAACTCGCTTGCATTTCATATAACGTTAGCTAACTATCTACACAACTAGGATTTATTTTGGAGCAGCTTGATCGATATCCAACTAGCTAGTTAACTAGCATACTTAGCAGCTAAGTTAACTAGCTAAATGCCTTCATTTTCACAAATCAAATCGGCGAACGGTTAACAGTACCATTGAGGGTTCTCCCCAGGATTAGTTAATAAGGTGGTGCTGCTAAATACAGCCAGAGAGGACTCAGAGATTTGTGCGTTTTTGAACACCTGTAACTGCCAAAAAATTGCCTTATTTGATAACTTTTTTTCTTACATAGTGGCGCAGCCAGTCCACAAGGTGGCGCAGCGCCTATTACCTTCTTTGGGGAGAATCTTGCATGTTGTGCTTATATAGCTAACGTAAGGATGTATGTGTCTAGCAATTATCATGTACAATGTTTGTCTAGCTAGCTATATATTTTAGCTAACGTGAGTTATTAGTTTAGCTACCAATACCATAGTTAATTAGCTATTTAATTTTAGCTAGCTAACGTTAGCTAGCACTGTCTGGAACTCTCATTTACTGTGCCAGGAGACCATTTTTGTCCAAATTTGCTGTGGGAAACTATTGGTCATGATGTATTTAATTACAGTGACATGTCACTTCACCTTCCAGGCATTTGTGGTATGGGATCCTTAGACTTAGTAAAAAAAGTGCCACCTCTGGTCTCTTGGCCGCCCCACCCCTACGGGAGGTAAACTCACGCTCAGCCCAGTCAAAGCTCTTCTCTGTCCTGGCACCCCTATGGTGGAACTAGCTTCCCCCTGATCCTAGGACAGCAGAGTCCTTGCCCATCTTCCGAAAACATCTGAAAGCCTACCTCTTCTTCGGTTTTGTGTAGCTATTGTCAACTGACTTTTCGTAGCAGGTCTAGAAATTATAAATGTTTTTTCCTCTTTGTTATTACCCCTTTTTCTCCCCACTTTCGTGGTATCCAATTGGTAGTTACAGTCTTGTCCCGTCACTGCAACTCCTGTACGGACTCGGGAGAGGCGAAGGTCTTGAGCCATGCGTCCTCCGAAACACAACCCTGCCAAGCCGCACTGCTTCTTGACACACTGCTAGCTTAACCCGGGCCAATTGTGTGCTGCCTCATGGCTCTCCCGGCCACGGCTGGCTGTGACATAGGATCGAACCCACTCAAGCACTGCGATGCAGGGCCTTAGACCGCTGCGCCACTCAGGAGGCCCCCAGGTCTAGAAGAATTTACGCAGCAGGTTAGGAGAAATTTGACAAAAGCTGTATCCCATATAGATATGACCTTCTTCGTAGGGTTTTAGGGCGGACTACATCCAAAAAGTTGTATTGCAGCCCACTAATGGATTAAAAGTATGAAAGAAAACCATACTTGACAGTAGTCTATGGGGCCTGATAGGTAGTATGGCTCGTCACAGCCTTTTATGTAACTCCTTCGCCGAGAAGTCCTCCAATCCCAGAAACCGCTCCGCCGCATCAGGAATGTTGTATGAAACCCTCCCTCTTCAGAGTATTTCCTACTAGCACTAACTTTGCTGATAAAAAAATGTGACTTACTACGACTGTGATATGTGGTTGTCTCACCTATCTCTCTTAAGATGAATGCACTAACTGTAAGTCGCTCTGGATAAGAGCGTCTGCTAAATGACTAAAATGTAAAACTGTAAACTCAATTTAATTATCTAGCTACGCAGTCCCCCAATGAGCTATTCGCCATTTATTTTGTAAACAAAGGTGGAGATGTGGCGTCCCGTGCATGTGCTCATTGTGTGACTTCATCAACTGCATGGTCTGAATTTCACGAGAACTAATGTAAATAATTTGTGTTCCAGGATGAATTGACTGCGTTGAATGTGAAGCAAGGATTTAATAATCAACCGGCAGTGTCAGGGGATGAACATGGAAGTGCTAAAAATGTCAACTTCAATCCCTCAAAGGTGATCTTCTACTCATTAATGTTTCTCTCTGTATTACATGTAGTGAATCATTATGCATGGTGTATGTACAGTAGGATATTTAGTTAATTGCATACTTCCCTATTACCCCAACAGATTAGTTCAAACTTCAGCAGCATCATTGCAGAGAAGCTGCGTTACAACACATTTCCAGACACAGGCAAACGGAAGCCGCAGGTCAACCAGAAGGACAATTTCTGGCTTGTTACTGCCAGGTCACAGAGCTCTATCAACAACTGGTTTACAGATTTGTCTGGAACTAAACCACTCACCCAGCTGGCCAAGAAGGTAGGACTTTGTACCAAAAACATCCCCGGGGGCCACATTCAGCAGAGCACTACATTGTGAAAGAAATATGTTGTGTTCTGGCCTGGGGTGGTCTAGCGGTCTATGCTGTTGCCTCTGGAGCACATGTACAATGTACCACTGCCAGCATGAGTTCGAATCCGGCTCACTGTTCTTTCAGCACTCTCTTTCCCTTCTTCACCTCTCTATCTCTCACCATTCAATAAACATACAAAATGCCCCAAAAATATATATAAATAAATATGATATGTAGGAAGAACAAGCCTCTCTGACATGTAAACTAAGGAATCGTATTGGCTCTATTAATGAAATTTCAATCTACAAAGTTCGAGAATGTTTACCTACTGAACATGGCCCTACTCTTCCCATGACTAAGTCAACTTTAACCAGAAGCACAAGCACAATATGTCTGCCTTGGGTGAATTATACTGTCTTTACTACATCGCAATTATTAGACTGTCACTTAACATAATACAAAATATTCTGCAGCAACATCCTCCATCATACCTTGTTTTGTTAAATTGTGTTGGTGTACCAGGTGCCAATCTTTAGTAAAAAGGAGGAGGTTTTTGGCTACTTGGCCAAGTACACAGTACCTGTGATGCGGTCAGCATGGATGATCAAGATGACCTGTGCGTATCACGCCGCCATCACAGAAACAAAAGTCAAGAAGCGGCACGTGATTGACCCCTGCATAGGTAAGCAAACACTCCTTAAAATATATAGCCTAACCATCCTCCTAGGAACATCATAGATCTTTTTATGGTTGAGCATGTTCCAGCTAACCCCCTATGGCCAAAGCTCCTCATGAATGTAACATTCCAATATCCTGGGTGTGTTCACTGCCATTTAGAAAAGATAAGCTGCTATATCTCTATAATTTTGCTCGGTCATGCTGCATTAACAGGAGCATATGCCATTGGGATGAATTGAACTCTAATGCTATGTTCTTTCTGTCTGCACTGCAGAATGGACTCAGATCATCACTAAGTACCTGTGGGAACAGTTGCAGAAGGTGGCCGAGTTCTACCGCCAGTCTCCCAGCCAGGGCTGTGGCTCTCCTCTCCCGGCCACCTCGGCCGAGGTGGATACGGCAATGAAGCAGTGGGAGTACAACGAGAAGCTGGCCATGTTCATGTTCCAGGTTGGATGGTCCTTTGGTTTGTCTGTTTCTTTGTCTGTTTGCCTGCCTGTGTCAGGTTGCATGTCTGTCTCTCTGTCTGTTTGTCTGCCTGCCTCAACCGGGGACCTATGTATCTGCCTTGTCTGATGAGTTTGTGATAAGCGAAATATATATACATTTTCACTAAACAGTTTGAAATTGATTGAGTTGTTACTTGGTTCGAATTTTGTGACTTTGATGTTAGCTTTTCGTCATTGCATAGCTGTCTGCAATGGCTGTTGTGGTAGTATAGCCCTATTTCACTATTACGTCACTGTATAAACAACGTGCTGCATGCCGGGTTCATTAGGGGGAAAACAGCTAGCAGCTAGCAAGTTAGCTTCTTTTTAGAGGGCCAGTCATTTCTGTGGTAAACTAAACCATGAGGTAAGCGATAAGACATTTTAATGTATGATTTTATGATTAATGCCAGATGCAATCATAGCATGACAAACAAGAAAAAACAGTTCACTTTGGGCATTTTATGATGCTAATCTCTAGCTAGCCCACATACAGTACATTGTTTCCACCGTAACGTACAGTGCCTTCAGAAAGTATTCACACCCCTTGACTTTTTCCACATTTTGTTATAAATTGGGATTAAAATGGATTTTTATTTTTTCATGTTCTACACAAAATACTAATGTCTGTGGATAAGTGGATTCTTATGTAGAAGGGCTGAGGAGCTCAGTTCTGGTGACTCTTTAAAATAACATTCTACTCCAAAATGAAAGAAAATAAGCATGCTGACACCAAAATAGAATTTCCACCTCCAGCAATTAGCCCAATAACACATTGGGGAAATGATTTGTTAAAATGATTTCAACATATTGTGCCATGTACTGTATATACAGTGGGGAAAAAAAGTATTTAGTCAGCCACCAATTGTGCAAGTTCTCCCACTTAAAAAGATGAGAGAGGCCTGTAATTTTCATCATAAGTACACGTCAACTATGACATACAAATTGAGGGAAAAAAATCCAGAAAATCATATTGTAGGATTTTTAATGAATTTATTTGCAAATTATGGTGGAAAATAAGTATTTGGTCACCTACAAACAAGCAAGATTTCTGGCTCTCACAGACCTGTAACTTCTTCTTTAAGAGGCTCCTCTGTCCTCCACTCGTTACCTGTATTAATGGCACCTGTTTGAACTTGTTATCAGTATAAAAGACACCTGTCCACAACCTCAAACAGTCACACTCCAAACTCCACTATGGCCAAGACCAAAGAGCTGTCAAAGGACACCAGAAACAAAATTGTAGACCTGCACCAGGCTGGGAAGACTGAATCTGCAATAGGTAAGCAGCTTGGTTTGAAGAAATCAACTGTGGGAGCAATTATTAGGAAATGGAATACATACAAGACCACTGATAATCTCCCTCGATCTGGGGCTCCACGCAAGATCTCACCCCGTGGGGTCAAAATTATCACAAGAACGGTGAGCAAAAATCCCAGAACCACACAGGGGGACCTAGTGAATGACCTGCAGAGAGCTGGGACCAAAGTAACAAAGCCTACCATCAGTAACACACTACGCCGCCAGGGACTCAAATCCTGAGTGTCCCCCTGCTTAAGCCAGTACATGTCCAGGCCCGTCTGAAGTTTGCTAGAGTGCATTTGGATGATCCAGAAGAGGATTGGGAGAATGTCATATGGTCAGATGAAACCAAACTAGAACTTTTTGGTAAAAACTCAACTCGTCGTGTTTGGAGGACAAAGAATACTGAGTTGCATCCAAAGAACACCATACCTACTGTGAAGCATGGGGGTAGAAACATCATGCTTTGGGGCTGTTTTTCTGCAAAGGGACCAGGACGACTGATCCGTGTAAAGGAAAGAATGAATGGGGCCATGTATCGTGAGATTTTGAGTGAAAATCTCCTTCCATCAGCAAGGGCATTGAAGATGAAACGTGGCTGGGTCTTTCAGCATGACAATGATCCCAAACACACCGCCCGGGCAACGAAGGAGTGGCTTCGTAAGAAGCATTTCAAGGTCCTGGAGTGGCCTAGCCAGTCTCCAGATCTCAACCCCATAGAAAATCTTTGGAGGGAGTTGAAAGTCTGTGTTGCCCAGCTACAGCCCCAAAACATCACTGCTCTAGAGGAGATCTGCATGGAGGAATGGGCCAAAATACCAGCAACAGCGTGTGAAAACCTTGTGAAGACTTACAGAAAACGTTTGACCTGTGTCATTGCCAACAAAGGGTATATAACAAAGTATTGAGAAACTTTTGTCATTGACCAAATACTTATTTCCCACCATAATTTGCAAATAAATTCATAAAAAATCCTACAATATGATTTTCTGGAATTTTTTTCCTCATTTTGTCTGTCATAGTTGACGTGTACCTATGATGAAAATTACAGGCCTCTCTCATCTTTTTAAGTGGGAGAACATGCACAATTGGTGGCTGATTAAATACTTTTTTTCCCCACTGTAGCCTATGCAAGGTCCATATTATCAGGTATGCTATTAGCAATAAACATTATCACCTTTAGCCCAACTGATGCAGCAAAGTGCAAATAAATAGGCTGAAGCATGGGGTTGCCTATCTCCATTTACCATATTGGGCTAATCATTAGCCTGATCTCAAATGTGATCTTTTAACTAGTTATTATCATATTGATGAATTTTATGTCCCCAAAAAACGTGCATAAACACTGAATATAATGTAGGCCTACCTGGAAGGGTAACTTGGGGTAAAAAGCCCCCTGCTTGTACTTCTCACAGAAACCACTTGGTCACAATCTTTTCCCCCGCTACTCTTGCTCAACAAAAAATATTATCTGTCTCATCACAAAACCCCGGGTTGAAAATGTTGCAATTCGTGCATATTTAGGAGTTGAGAAATAAAGTAGGAATGGAAAGCTGGCATTCCCCTCTTTTTAACAAAAGCCATTACAACTGCTGTTTTTGCGATTGCAAGGTTATTATTTTTGTGTCCCCAATTGGTAGTTAGTCTTGTCCCATCGCTGCAACTCCCCTGTGGACTCGGGAGAGGCGAAGGTCGAGAGCCATGCGTCCTCCGAAACACGAACCTGCCAAGCCGCACTGCTTCTTGACACACTGATCGCTTAACCTGGAAGCCAGCCGCACCAATGTGTCGGAAGAAACACCGTCCAGCTGGCGATGGGACCCTCGCCTAACCCAGATGACACTGGGCCAATTGTGCGCCGCCTCATGGGTCTCCCGGTCACGGCCGGGACGTCACACAGCCTGGGATTGAACCCGGGTCTGTAGTGACACCTCAAGCACTGCGATGTAATGCCTAAGACCGCTGCGCCACTCGGGAGGCCAACAATTGCAAGAATTGTGGTGCATTGAGTGCTTGTCAGAATGCATGTTTCCCTCCCAATGGCACTTATAACATGAATGCGCCACGAGAGGAATATATATCTAGCATAGAACACAACAACAAGCCTACTAGGTAAATATATAAACTATTCTAATATGGGCTTGTTAGATTTTTCTATTAATTACTCGTTTTGTTTGCGGAGGAAAAGTACATTTGGAATGTTCTAGCATCTTCAAAATGCGCCTCAGCGGAAATATTTGTTAATGTTCCATATAGTTTTTTGTTGCGTGGCGGCAATGATTTTGCCGTGGCGCAGCACCACATCAAAATGAGTGCAGCGTAAACGCTGCCTTGTGGTGAAATCCCTGAGCAGTTTCCTTCCTCTCCGGCAACTGAGTTAGGAAGGACGCATGTATCTTTGTAGTGACTGGGTGTATTAATACACCATCCAAGGCGTAATTAATAACTTCACCATGCTCAATGTGATATTCAGTGCTTTTTAAAGTTTTACCCATCTACTAATAGGTGCCCTGCTTTGCGAGGCATTTGAAAACCTCCCTGGTCTTTATGGTTGAATCTGTGCTTGAAATTCACTACTCTACTGAGGGACCTTACAGATAATTGTATGTGTGCAAAAATCATGTTAACCACTATTATTGCAACTTATTATGTGACTTGTTAAGCAAATGTTTTACTACTGAAGATATTTATGCTTGCCATAAGAAAGGGGTTGAATACTTACTGACTCAAGACATTTCAGCTTTTAATTCTTTATTAATTTGTAAAAAATCAAATAAATCCACTTTGACATGGTGGGGTATTGTGTGTAGATCAGTGGCACAAAATGTTCAATTCAGGCTGTAACACAACAAAATGTGCAATAAGTCAAGGGGTGTGAATACTTTCTGAAGGCACTTTAATAGTGAAATGGGGTAGCCGGCATCATACACCACATTCTTTACACTGACGTAATAGTGAAATGAGGTAATTTCATAGGGTTAACTTACCCTAAATACTTCATGCTGTAGAAGGCCAAGCAATAACAAACGGTTGTTTGCTTGTATCCAGGATGGCATGCTAGACAGACACGAGTTCCTCACGTGGGTGTTGGAATGCTTTGAGAAGGTCCGACCTGGAGAAGATGAGCTTCTGAAGCTGCTACTGCCCCTCCTGCTACAGGTAAATGCCTATATACTATCCATCATCTTAATAATTTGGTGGGTGCTTATATTTGTCCTATTTCACATAAGTGTGTATTGGAAATATGTTTTTTTTTTGCATATCCCAACTCCTCCTGAGACACCCTCAGAGAGTGGGGTCACGGCCAGGGTCTGCCATTATCAACAGAGCATTTAGGGTTAAGTGCCTTGCATGAGCACATGTTTCACCTAGTCAGCGCTTGGATTTGAACTAGCAACCTCTAAGTTACTGGCCTAATGCTGTAACCACTAGGCTATCTTTCTCTTACTGCAGTGATGGATTTCATTCTCCAAGTTACAAACCACATATTTCATGTGGAAGGTGTAACTTAAGGAGACACTCACAGAGATGTAATTTATCTTAATGAATCAGGAAATGTCCAGGTTTTTTGACATCCTCTAATTGTACAGTTGGGGGCATTATAAGCTACTTTTTCAAACGACCTTTGGTGCAGCAATGGTACATTGTTAATGTGACAAACTCTCTCGCAGGGTGACACCAAACACGAAGTTCATTAGCAATCATCTAACATTAACCTATGTAACGAAAAACATTTCAGAAATATGCCCCTGCCGGTACAGTTTAATCCACTTTGAAGCAAATGTATTTACCTGCACTGCGTTACAGCTTAACTTTTACAGGTTAGTCATTGAAGCTGACCTAGCTACCCTCTCCTCCGTTTTTCCCTGTATTCCATTGTTGTGATCACATATCAGCTCTGAAGAGTGGGTACTGACCTTGTGAGTCGTGTGCCCTCCATCAGTACTCAGGGGAGTTTGTGCAGTCGGCCTACCTGTCCCGGAGGCTGGCCTATTTCTGCACGCGACGCCTCAACCTGCTGCTAAGCGACGGGAGCCTGGGGCCCGGAGCCGGGGGACACCCGGCCCACAGCATCCTGGCACAGCCAGGGAACGCCCTGCCGCCCACGCCCACCTCCCAGCCCGCAGGGGGCAATCAGCCCCAGACCCCCTTCACAGACTTCTACATCTGCCCCCAACACAGGCCCTTGGTGTTTGGGCTCAGCTGCATGCTACAGGTACACAAAAAACACACTCCATAGCCTTTCCACTGAACTGAATGGATTGCCTAATACTGCTACTGCAGTACTATTATACTACTATTAATATTACTGTTAAGCCATAAGGCTAGTATAGTACATGGCTAAGTTGGTAATCTAGCTCTGGTAAAATGTTCACTGTTGTGATTGTTCCTGATTAAATTCTATTGTAGATTACATTTTTCCATATTGTAATAAACTGGATAGGTGCAGTGAAATGGGTTGTTTTACAGGGGCAGCCATAGTAGTATGGCGCCCCTGGAGCAAATTAGGGTTAAGTGCCTTGTTTAAGGACACATTGACAGATATTTAACCTTGTCGGCTCGGGTATTCAAACCGGTGACCTTTCGGTTACTGGCCCAACGCTCTAACTGCTAGGCTACCTGCCGCCCTATTGTCAACCACATCCCTAAATTCTTCTTCTCCTCGTCTTCGTTTCGTCAGAGTATCATGCTATGCTGTCCCAGTGCCCTGGTGTGGCACTACTCTCTGACAGACAGCCGGAACAAGACTGGTTCCCCACTGGACCTACTGCCCATCTCCCCCTCCAACCTGCCCATGCCAGGGGGAAACGGCACCTTTACACAGCAGGTAAGGCCCAGAGTCTGGTTCCTGTCAAGGTTTCTTCCCACCTAGGGAGATATTCCATGCAACTGTACCTTTGGCATTGGGTTTGGATTATGACCCTGCTGATTGCTGCGCAGCACTTTGAGACTAATGCATTTGTCGATTGATTGAAAGTGATTTTAAATATTGACTGGCTTTCATCAAGCTGCCTACTCAACAAAAATCTTTATAAACTGTAACCAGTGCCTGCAACCTGGTTCAGGTATCAGTCAACCTACCAGGGTAGTTACAAACAGCACAGGAATGAAATTATCAACATGTATTGATCACATCTTTATTAATGCTGCAGAAATTTGCTTGAAAGCAGTGTCCAGATCCATCGGATGTAGTGATCACAATATAGTACCCATACAGTGAGGGGGAAAAAAGTATTTGATCCCCTGCTGATTTTGTACGTTTGCCAACTGACAAAGAAATGATCAGTCTATAATTTTAATGGTAGGTTTATTTGAACAGTGAGAGACAGAATAACAACAAAAAAATCCAGAAAAACGCATTTCAAAAATGTTATAAATTGATTTGCATTTTAATGAGGGAAATAAGTATTTGACCCCCTCTCAATCAGAAAGATTTCTGGCTCCCGGGTTTCTTTTATACAGGTAACGAGCTGAGATTAGGAGCACACTCTTAAAGGGAGTGCTCCTAATCTCAGTTTGTTACCTGTATAAAAGACACCTTTCCACAGAAGCAATCAATCAATCAGATTCCAAACTCTCCACCATGGCCAAGACCAAAGAGCTCTCCAAGGATGTCAGGGACAAGATTGTAGACCTACACAAGGCTGGAATGGGCTACAAGACCATCGCCAAGCAGCTTGGTGAGAAGGTGACAACAGTTGGTGCGATTATTCGCAAATGGAAGAAACACAAAAGAACTGTCAATCTCCCTCGGCCTGGGGCTCCATGCAAGATCTCACCTCGTGGAGTTGCAATGATCATGAGAACGGTGAGGAATCAGCCCAGAACTACACGGGAGGATCTTGTCAATGATCTCAAGGCAGCTGGGACCATAGTCAGCAAGAAAACAATTGGTAACACTCTACGCCGTGAAGGACTGAAATCCTGCAGCGTCCGCAAGGTCCCCCTGCTCAAGAAAGCACATATACATGCCCGTCTGAAGTTGAACAATGAACATCTGAATGATTGAGGAGAACTGGGTGAAAGTGTTGTGGTCAGATGAGACCAAAATTGAGCTCTTTGGCATCAACTCAACTCGCCGTGTTTGGAGGAGGAGGAATGCTGCCTATGACCCCAAGAACACCATCCCCACCGTCAAACATGGAGGTGGAAACATTATGCTTTGGGGGTGTTTTTCTGCTAAGGGGACAGGACAACTTCACCGCATCAAAGGGACGATGGACGGGGCCATGTACCGTCAACTCTTGGGTGAGAACCTCCTTCCCGCAGCCAGGGCATTGAAAATGGGTCGTGGATGGGTATTCCAGCATGACAATGACCCAAAACACACGGCCAAGGCAACTAAGGAGTGGCTCAAGAAGAAGCACATTAAGGTCCTGGAGTGGCCTAGCCAGTCTCCAGACCTTAATCCCATAGTAAATCTGTGGAGGGAACTGAAGGTTCGAGTTGCCAAACGTCAGGCTCGAAACCTTAATGACTTGGAGAAGATCTGCAAAGAGGAGTGGGACAAAATCCCTCCTGAGATGTATGCAAACCTGGTGGCCAACTACAAGAAACGTCTGACCTCTGTAATTGCCAACAAGGGTTTTGCTACCAAGTACTAAGTAATGTTTTGCAGAGGGGTCAAATACTTATTTCCCTCCTTAAAATGCAAATCAATTCATAACATTTTTAACATGTGTTTTTTTGGATTTTGTTGTTGTTGTTCTGTCTCTCACTGTTCAAATAAACCTACCATTAAAATTATAGACTGATCATTTCTTTGTCAGTGGGCAAACATACAAAATCAGCAGAGGATCAAATACCTTTTTCCCTCACTGTATCTAGGAAAACTAAAGTTTTAAAGGCTGGGCCTAATATAGTGTATAAGAGGTCATACAATAGGTTTTGTAGTGATTCCTATGTTGTTGATGTAAAGAATATATATGTTGATCCGTGGTGTGTAATGAGGAGCAAACAGACACTGCACTTGACACATTTATGAAATTGCTTATTCCAGTTACTAATAAGCATGCACCCATTAAAAAATTGACTGTAAAAACTGTTGAATCCCTGTGGTTTGATGAGGAATTGAACAATTGTATAGTTGAGAGGGATGAGGCAAAAGGAATGGCAATTAATTCTGGCTGCACAACCGATTGGCAAATGTATTACAAATTGAGAAATCATGTGACTAAACTGAATAAAAAGAAGAAGAAACTACACTATGAAACTAAGATAAATAACAAAGTATGATTAGTAAAAAGCTTTGGAGCACCTTAAATGAAATTTTTTTGGGGGGGAAGGCAAATTCAGCTCTATCATTCATTGAATCAGATGGCTCATTCATCACAAAACCCACTGATATTGCCAACTACTTTAATTATTCTTTCATTGGCAAGATTAGCAAATTTAGGCATGACATGCCAGCAACAAATTCTGACACTACACATCCAAGTATATCTGACCAATTTATGAAAGAAAAACATTGTAATTTTGAATTCTGTAAAGTGAGTGTGGAAGAGGTGAAACAATTGTCTATCAACAATGACAAGGCACCGGGGTCTGACAACTTGGATGGAAAATTACTGAGGATGATAGCGGACGATATTGCCACTCCTATTTGCCATATTTTCAATTTAAGCCTACTAGAAAGTGTGTGCCCCCAGGCTAGGAGGGAAGCAAAAGTCATTCTGCTACCTAAGAATAGTAAAGCCCCCTTTACTGGCTCAAACAGCCGACCAATTAGCCTGTTACCAACCCATAGTAAACTTTTGGAAAAAATTGTGTTTGACCAAATACAATGTTATTCTACAGAAAACAAATTGACAACAAACGTTCAGCATGCTTACAGGGAAGGACATTCAACAAGCACATACACAAATGACTGATTATTGGCTGAGAGAAATGTTTAATAAAAAGATTGTGTGGGCTTTGTTGTTCGACTTCAGTGCAGTTTTTGATATTATCGATCATAGTCTGCTGCTGTAAAAACGTATGTGTTATGGCTTTACACCCCCTGCTATATTGTGGATAAAGAGTTACCTGTCTAACAGAACACAGAGGGTGTTCTTTAATGGACGCCTCGCCAACATAATCCAGGTAGAATCAGGAATTCCCCAGGGCAGCTGTCTAGGCCCCTTACTTTCTTCAATCTTTACTAACGACACGAGGAAAGCCAGTGTGTCTATGTATGCGGATGACTAAACACTATACATGTCAGCTAATACAGTGACTGAATTGAGTGCAACACTTAACAAAGAGCTGCAGTTAGTTTCAGAGTGGGTGGCAAGGAATAAGTTAGTCCTAAGTATTTCTAAAACTAAAAGCATTGTATTTGGGACAAATCATTCAACTAAATCTTGTAATAAAAAATGTGGAAATTGAGCAAGTTGAGGTGACAACTGTTTGGAGTAACCCTGGATTATGAACTGTCATGGTCAAAACATATTGATACAACAGAAACTAAGTCTGTCCATAATAAAACGCTGCTCTACCTTCTTAACAGCACTATCAACAAGGCAGGTCCTACAGGCTCTAGTTTTGTCGCACCTGGACTACTGTTCAGTCGTGTGGTCAGCTGCCACAAAAAGGGACTTAGGAAAATTGCAATTGGCTCAGAACAGGGCAGCACGGCTGGCCCTTGGATGTACACAGAGAGCTAATATTAATAATATGCATGTCAATCTCTCCTGGCTCAAAGTGGAGGAGAGATTGACTTCATCACTACTTGTATTTATGAGAGGTATTGACATGTTGAATGCACCGTGCTGTCTGTTTTGAACTACTGGCGCACAGCTCGGACACCCATGCATACCCCACAAGACATGCCACCAGAGGTCTCTTCACGGTCCCCAAGTCCAGAACAGACTTTGGGAGGCGCACAGTACTACATAGAGCCATGACTACATGGAACTCTATTCCACATCAAGTAACTGATGCAAGCAGTAAAATTAGATTGAAAAAAAACTGATCAAAATACACCTTATGGAACAGCGGGGACTGTGAAGCAACACAAACATAGACACATGCATACACACACACGATAACATACGCACTATACACACACGTACACACGTATTTTGTACTGTAGATATGTGGTAGTGGTGGAGTAGGGGCCTGAGGGCACACAGTGCGTTGTAAATGTATTGTAATGTTTTAAACATTTTAAAAACAGCCTTAATTTTGCTGAACCCCAGGAAGATTATGGAAGAATGGGGATCCATAATAAAAACAAATACAAATACACACTATGAGGTTAACATCATTGCTTGCCTGGTGACTACTAGATTGAGATTTGTATTTGTCCTCTGTCTTCCCCATTAGCTGCTGCCGAGGTAGCAGCTACTCTTCCTGGGGTCCAGCAACATTAAGGCAGTTCTATACAATAAAAAATATTACAGGACATTACATTTCATAATACTTTTCACAACACATTAAGTGTGTTCCCTCAGGTCACTACATATCTACAACACAAAATCCATGTGTACGTGTGTCTGTAGAGTGCGTTTCTTATCATGTGTATGTGTGTCTGTGCCTGTGTGTGTGTCTCTTCACGGTCCCCGCTGTTCCATAAGGTGTATTTTTATCTGTTTTTTTAAATCTCATTCTACTGCTTCCATCAGTTACCTGATGTGGAATAGAGTTCCATGTAGCCATGGCTCTACGTAGTACTGTGCGCCTCCCATAGTCTGTTCTTGACTTGGGGATTGTGCATTCAGCATGTCAACACTTCTTACAAAAACATGTAGTGATGAAGTCAATCTCTCCTCCACTTTGAGCCATGAGAGATTTACATGCATATCTGCTTATCGCAGTCTTATCTATGCTTTTATATCAGGTCCGTGCAAAGGTGCGAGAAATAGAGGAGCAGGTCAAGGACCGAGGGCAGGCTGTGGAGTTCCGCTGGTCCTTTGATAAATGTCAGGAGACAACTGCTGGTAAAGAAACTGCTGATAAGATCATAGGCACCTATACAATTACACAATAATACATCCAGACAATGACTCTATGGGCCGGTTTCCCAGACAAAGATTAAGGCTAGTCTTGGACTAAAAATCTATTTCAATGGAGATTCTCCATTGAGCATGCTTTTTAGTTCAGCACTAGGCTTAATCTGTGTCCGGGTTAACCAGCCCTAGGTGTATAAGGAAAATGGAAATGAGCAACATTTAGTGTTTTACTTGGAATAATTGTACTTTTTTTTTTCTTTCACCAGGCTTTACCATTGGGAGGGTCCTACACACCCTGGAGGTTCTAGACAACCACAGCTTTGAGAAGTCAGACTTCAGCAATTCCCTTGATTCCCTTTACAACCGCATCTTTGGCTCGGGCCAGAGCAAAGACGGCCACGAGGTAAAGATGTTTTCCATCAATACTGCAGCGCTCTCTAAGATGAGCACTCCTGCATATGTCAAGTCTGAAGACTTCAATGGTTTTCAATTGCAGATGAAAAGGCAAAATTTCAAGTGTGAGCAAGAGCACAACTAACACCACCTGGAAAAAATTCTGCTTCCTCAGATTCCATTTGGCCCTTGTCATTACAGTATAACACATTACATTTCTTCTTCTGGGGACAATTAACTGCATTCTATTTGACTCTATTCTATTTGAATATATTCTTCTAGAAACACTACATAGAGGTCTCCAGACACAGGTTTCCCTGCTCTATGGTCCTTGCCCTGACATGTTTCTCTGTGTAGATGTCCCCTGACGACGACGCGGTGGTGACCCTGCTGTGTGAGTGGGCGGTGTGCTGCAAGAGGTCTGGCCGCCACAGGGCCATGGTGGTGGCCAAGCTACTGGAGAAGAGACAGGCGGAGATCGAAGCCGAGGTGAGGGAGAGGCCCACACAAATGCACACTTGCGCACACACACATATACACACACACAAATACACTCTGACAATGGCAGAGTTTCCGCATCATGACTACAGCACCGTGACTGCTCCCTGCTCCACAATGACACGGGCCCATGAGTCACTCAGCCACGACTGTTCCTGAGGTTTCTCCTTTGTTGCCTCTTGAAAACAGGTCTCTCTTGCAAAATAGATTTGATTTTGTATTCCCCCTGTAAGGTATATTTGCTCAATGGCAGTGGTTCTCACACTATGCGTGTGATTGTGTGTGTTCACAGAGGTGCGGCGAGTCGGAGGTGGTGGATGAGAAAGGATCGGTGTCATCGGGCTCTCTCTCAGCGGCCACTCTGCCTGTGTTTCAGGACGTGCTCCTACAGTTCCTGGACACCCAGGCCCCCATGCTCAGTGAGACTGCCCTTCACTTCACTCATACCACTATTCAATTATATTCCCTTATTTTGGTTGTCTGCAGCTACGTCCCTAAGGGCACCCTATTCTCTATAAAGCACTACTTTTCACCAGGGCCCATATGTCACGTTTGACCACAGCCCTATTGGCCCTGGTCAAAAGTAGTGCACTATAAATGGAATATAGGGTGCCATTTAGGCTCTCTGCATCTCTTGATATTGCTCTTGATTCCATCACTCTTTTGGATTTCCGGTCTGCCCAACGGTTGAGTTGTTATGCACTACTATGTCTCTGGGACTTGAGCCATGCTGTACTGCGCTGGTCTAGTTACACATCCACCCTAGTGCTGAAAAGGACAATGTGAAAAGAAAACATCCGCAACAGCACAGTATTGTTCGGGTCGGCACGATAGTGGGAAAAGGGTATTGGTGTTGGGTTAGCTAAACTTAATAAGGGTCTTGTGCGGCTTAGTTGGTAGAGCATGGCGCTTGCATCAGGATAATGCGTTCGATTCCCGCTTGGGCCACCCATACGAAAATGTATGTTAGTCGCTTTGGATAAAAGTGTTTGCTAAATGTCATATTATTATATTATAAACCTTTCTGTTACTGCTGCTAATGCTGGAGTGTATAGTGACAAACTATCTCCCTCTGTCCCTCCTTAGCTGAGCCGAGCAACGAGAGCGAGCGTGTGGAGTTCTCCAACCAGGTGCTTCTCTTCTGCGAGCTCATCCGCCACGATGTCTTCTCCCACAACATCTACATGTGCACGCTCATCTCCCGCGGCGACCTGGCCTCTGACTCCCACCTGCCCCGCCCCCGTTCCCCTAGCGACGAGCCCTCGGACGAATCGGAGCGCAAGGAGGCTGGCAGCAGTGTCAAGAACGAGGCATGTTATGTGGAGGCGGCTGGTGTTGTTGTTGTTTTAGTGTGCATGATGAATCATCTTACATTTATATTTGAGTCATGTGTCACGCCCCATCATCAGTAGTTACTCATTGCTTTTGAATTGATTTGGGGAATAAAACTTGTATTTTCTTCCTTTTCTTTTCGCAGGACACTGGTCTCTCAGAGTCAATGGAGATTGATCACAACTCGAGTACTAATTTCGATGAGGTAAGTGTTTATGTATCATGTCTTAGATGATACGAGTAGAAATTGGCAGCCACTGTAATGTGCACTAGTGAATATTCTCCCTGGCACAACTATAGTATTCATACCTGTACTTCATCCTACTTTCCCATTGACCTCTGGATAACCTTTCCATGCTGTGTGCAGCCCTATTCATTTTAGCGGTCTCTTGTTTTGTAGATGTTTTCTCCCCCCATGCACTGTGAGTCAAAGGGCAGCCCCTCCCCCGAGAAGACTGCCCTGGAGCAAGAAGGGAAGGGCGCCTGCAAAGACAAGGGCCTGGATCCTGCCTTTCCATTGGTGTACGAGCAGCCCCGCCACATCCAGTATGCCACCCACTTCCCCATCCCCCAGGTAAGCAGTCCAGAGAGAGGCTTTTGCTAGCTCAGCTCTAACACACAGATGGAATTTAATCTGGGACATCAGTGCAACTCTAGACCATGTTAGCCCTCTGAGCAAAAGCGTAGGCTCTGGGAGCCAAGTTTACTTATCACCCCAGCAAAGCTTTGTGAACTACCGCCGCTACATTGGCACATACAGTGGGGGGAAAAAGTATTTAGTCAGCCACCAATTGTGCAAGTTCTCCCAGTTAAAAAGATGAGAGAGGCCTGTAATTTTCATCATAGGTACACGTCAACTATGACAGACAAATTGAGAGAAAAAATCCAGAAAATCACATTGTAGGATTTTTTATGAATTTATTTGCAAATTATGGTGGAAAATAAGTATTCGGTAACATACAAACAAGCAAGATTTCTGGCTCTCACAGACCTGTAACTTCTTCTTTAAGAGGCTCCTCTGTCCTCCACTCGTTACCTGTATTAATGGCACCTGTTTGAACTTGTTATGAGTATAAAAGACAACTGTCCACAACCTCAAACAGTCACACTCCAAACTCCACTATGGCCAAGACCAAAGAGCTGTCAAAGGACACCAGAAACAAAATTGTAGACCTGCACCAGGCTGGGAAGATTGAATCTGCCAAACCAAGCAGCTTGGTTTGAAGAAATCAACTGTGGGAGCAATTATTAGGAAATGGAAGACATACAAGACCACTGATAATCTCCCTCGATCTGGGGCTCCACGCAAGATCTCACCCTGTGGGGTCAAAATGATCACAAGAACGGTGAGCAAAAATCCCAGAACCACACGGGGGGACCTAGTGAATGACCTGCAGAGAGCTGGGACCAAAGTAACAAAGCCTACCATCAGTAACACACTACGCCGCCAGGGACTCAAATCCTGCAGTGCAAGACGTGTCCCCCTGCTTAAGCCAGTACATGTCCAGGCCCGTCTGAAGTTTGCTAGAGTGCATTTGGATGATCCAGAAGAGGATTGGGAGAATGTCATATGGTCAGATGAAACCAAAATAGAACTTTTTGGTAAAAACTCAACTCGTCGTGTTTGGAGGACAAAGAATGCTGAGTTGCATCCAAAGAACACCATACCTACTGTGAAGCATGGGGGTGGAAACATCATGCTTTGGGGCTGATTTTCTGCAAAGGGACCAGGACGACTGATCCGTGTAAAGGAAAGAATGAATGGGGCCATGTATCGTGAGCTTTTGAGTGAAAACCTCCTTCCATCAGCAAGGTTATTGAAGATGAAATGTGGCTGGGTCTTTCAGCATGACAATGATCCCAAACACACCGCCCGGGCAACGAAGGAGTGGCTTCGTAAGAAGCATTTCAAGGTCCTGGAGTGGCCTAGCCAGTCTCCAGATCTCAACACCATAGAAAATCTTTGGAGGGAGTTGAAAGTCTGTGTTGCCCAGCGACAGCCCCAAAACATCACTGCTCTAGAGGAGATCTGCATGGAGGAATGGGCCAAAATACCAGCAACAGTGTGTGAAAACCTTGTGAAGACTTACAGAAAACGTTTGACCTGTGTCATTGCCAACAAAGCGTATATAACAAAGTATTGAGAAACTTTTGTTATTGACCAAATACTTATTTTCCACCATAATTTGCAAATAAATTCATTAAAAATCCTACAATGTGATTTTCTTGATTTTTTTTTTCTAATTTTGTCTGTCATAGTTGACATGTACCTATGATGAAAATTACAGGACTCTCTCATCTTTTTAAGTGGGAGAACTTGCACAATTAGTGGCTGACTAAATACTTTTTTCCCCCACTGTATTGTTGGGTTGTTGGTGCAACTCAAGGTCATGTTAGCCCTTCAAGCTAAAGCCTTTACTTGCGTTACCTCTGGGAGCTAACACACATTTTCAGGTTTCTGGTATTGCTTTGCACACAACCTCCACTACATAGCCTATGCACAAATGTACTCACTTCTTGACACAGTTAGCCCTTTGAGCTAAAGCCTAGGCATTCACTAAGGGTGCTAACACAATTCTGCAGATCTCAGATAACTCCTAACAAGAGCTGCTGCTTTCAAGGAGCAGGACACTAATCCGGACACTTATAAGAAATCCCGCTATGCCCTCAGACGAACCATCAAACAGGCAAAGCGTCAATACAGGACTAAGATTTAATCCTACTACGCTGGCTCTGACGGTTGTCGGATGCCTTTTAAATGCCTTTTATGCTCGCTTCGAGGCAAGCAACACTGAAGCACGATTGTTTGATCACGCTCTCCGTAGCCGATGTGAGCAAGACCTTTTAAACAGGTCAACATTTACAAGGCCGCGGGGCCAGACGGATTACCAGGACGTGTACTCAGGGCATGCGCAGACCAACTGGCAAGTGTCTTCAATGACATTTTCAACCTCTCCCTGACAGAGTCTGTAATACCTACATGTTTCAAGCAGACCACCATTGTCCCTGTGCCCAAGAAAGCGAAGGCAACCTGCTTAAATGACTACTGCCCCGTAGCACTCATATCAGTAGCCATGAAGTGCTTTGAAAGGCTGGTCATGGCTCACATTAACACCATCATCCCTGAAACCCTAGACCCATTCCAATTCACATACCGCCCCAACAAATCCACAGATGACGCAATCGCACTCCACACTGCTCTTTCCCACCTGAACAAAAGGAACACCTATGTGAGAATGCTGTTCATTGACTACAGCTCAGCGTTCAACACCATAGTGCCCAAAAAGCTCATCACTAAGCTAAGGACCCTGGGACTAAACACCTCCCTCTGCAACTGGATCCTGGACTTCCTGACGGGCCGCCCCCAGGTGGTAAGGGTAGGCAACAACACATCTGCCACACTGATCCTCAACACAGGGGCCCCTCAGGGGTGCGTACTCAGTCCCCTCCTGTACTCCCTGACCGGTTGCATCACCGCCTGGTATGGCGACTGCTCGGCATCCGACCGTAAGGCGCTACAGAGGGTAGTACGTACGGCCCAGTACATCACTGGGGCCAAGCTTCCTGCCATCCAGGACCTATATACTAGGCGCGGTGTCAGAGGAAGGCCCAAAAAATTGTCAAAGACTCCAGTCACCCAAGTCATAGACTGTTCTCTCTGCTACCGCACGGCAAGCGGTACCGGAGCGCCAAGTCTAGGTCCAAAAGGCTCCTTAACAGCTTCTACCCCCAAGCCATAAGACTGCTGATCAATTAATCAAATGGCCACCCGGACTATTTACAATGACAAAATGAGTAGTTGCATAAATCTTCTCCGCCCCATGGCATAATGAATTGCAGCAAACTTGCTTTAAAACTGCAAAATGTTCTGTAGGCCCCATGGCAAAATGTGTAGAATGGCAGAAAGTGTACTCAAACTTTTTTCTCTCCGCTGTCAATAGGGGGGGGCTAAAATGTTTTGCTCGCAAGGTGAGTGGGAGGGGGGGTCCTCAACAAAATGTTGTTTAGGTCCACCAAAAGGCTAGGGCTAGCTCTGACTGCATGTGTGGGTATGGATGTGGGTACCAGTACGGCCCCTCATCATGAGTTCAGATTTTCTGTGGCCCCCACCCCCATCAAAGTTGCCCATCCCTGGTCTAGGTATTAGCTGTAAGTGCCAACATAAGTCTTCAGATCTCAGGCTACATGAACTACTTCCACTACATAACGCTCAGTGCATACATTGACTGACTTGTTGTCGTTCCCAGGAGGAGAGTGCCAGCCACGAGTGCAACCAGCGCCTGGTGGTGCTCTACGGCGTGGGCAAGCAGCGAGACGAAGCAAGGCACGCCATCAAGAAAATCACCAAAGACATCTTGAAGGTGCTCAACCGCAAAAGCACAGCAGAGACCGGTAAGACCCTTGCTGTTGGTGTACATGCTTTATGATTGATGATGCTAACTGCTTGTATTACCTTATCTATGGGCCTTCTATTTCCCTAGTGCAAAATGGCATGTTTGATGTATTTCTCTCTGCAGTTGCTTTTAGCATGTTTCACGTAGAGAGATAAGAAAGACTATGCTCATTCTGGAAACTCGAGACTCTGACATGACTTTGAGCACCAGTTGTGATGTGCAACCATAGATTTATGGAGCGAGGTTATATACTCCCACAACTCTCAGCAGATGTGCTCCCTGTATATCACATTACAGATAATGTTTGTGCAGATTGCAGCGAGCCGTTATCTTGTTAACATAGTTTTTTATGGACGCTGTGCCTGTTTTTACGCTGGCTCAGCTCTCGGGCTACCTCACAAATGGCACCCTATTCCTACATAATGCACTATTTAGGGAATAGGGTGCGATTGTTGACGCACAACTCTGCTGTTAAATCTGCCACAATCTTATCCCCTCAGTAACGTTTCCCAAGTTGAAAACTGACCTCAGAAACCTTCATTTCTTTACTCGCAACACTCTTTCCCCCCCTCTGTTCTTCATTATAGAACACAGGCTTTTGACTTTTTTGACGATTGACCTCAGGGCTCGCATCCTTCATTCAATATTCATTTTCATCCTGTCCAATTTCTATGCTAATAGCTGTCATTTGCTGCCACCCATCTTATTTCTCAGCGCATGTGACCTTAACAAGGGCTTTTTGAAAAGTTACAATTATGCAGGCTAAAGTGCTTTATGCTTATTTCATTCAAGTAATTTCAGTTCAGCCATACAGTGAGGGGAAAAAAGTATTTGATCCCCTGCTGATTTTGTACGTTTACCCACTGACAAAGAAATGATCAGTCTATAATTTTAATGGTAGGTTTATTTGAACAGTGAGAGACAGAATAACAACAAAAAAATCCAGAAAAACGCATGTCAAAAAATTTATAAATTGATTTGCATTTTAATGAGGGAAATAAGTATTTGACCCCCTCTCAATCAGAAAGATTTCTGGCTCCCAGGTGTCTTTTATACAGGTAACGAGCTGAGATTAGGAGCACACTCTTAAAGGGAATGCCCCTAATCTCAGCTTGTTACCTGTATAAAAGACACCTGTCCATAGAAGCAATCAATCAATCAGATTCCAAACTCTCCACCATGGCCAAGACCAAATAACTCTCCAAGGATGTCAGGGATAAGATTGTAGACCTACACAAGGCTGGAATGGGCTACAAGACCATCGCCAAGCAGCTTGGTGAGAAGGTGACAACAGTTGGTGCGATTATTCGCAAATGGAAGAAACACAAAATAACTGTCAATCTCCCTTGGCCTGGGGCTCCATGCAAGATCTCACCTCGTGGAGTTGCAATGATCATGAGAACGGTGAGGAATCAGCCCAGAACTACACGGGAGGATCTTGTAAATGATCTCAAGGCAGCTGGGACCATAGTCACCAAGAAAACAATTGGTAACACACTACGCCGTGAAGTACTGAAATCCTGCAGCGCCCGCAAGGTCCCCCTGCTCAAGAAAGCACATATACAGGGCCGTCTGAAGTTTGCCAATGAACATCTGAATGATTCAGAGGAGAACTGGGTGAAAGTGTTGTGGTCAGATGAGACCAAAATGGAGCTCTTTGGCATCAACTCAACTCGCCGTGTTTGGAGGAGGAGGAATGCTGCCTATGACCCCAAGAACACCATCCCCACGGTCAAACATGGAGGTGGAAACATTATGCTTTGGGGGTGTTTTTCTGCTAAGGGGACAGGACAACTTCACCGCATCAAAGGGACGATGGACGGTCAAATCTTGGGTGAGAACCTCCTTCCCTCAGCCAGGGCATTGAAAATGGGTCGTGGATGGGTATTCCAGCATGACAATGACCCAAAACACACGGCCAAGGCAACAAAGGAGTGGCTCAAGAAGAAGCACATTAAGGTCCTGGAGTGGCCTAGCCAGTCTCCAGACCTTAATCCCATAGAAAATCTGTGGAGGGAGCTGAAGGTTCGAGTTGCCAAACGTCAGCCTCGAAACCTTAATGACTTGGAGAAGATCTGCATAGAGGAGTGGGACAAAATCCCTCCTGAGATGTGTGCAAACCTGGTGGCCAACTACAAGAAACGTCTGACCTCTGTGATTGCCAACAAGGGTTTTGCCACCAAGTACTAAGTCATGTTTTGCAGAGGGGTCAAATACTTATTTCCCTCATTAAAATGCAAATCAATTTATAACATTTTTGACATGCATTTTTTCTGGATTTTGTTGTTGTTATTCTGTCTCTCACTGTTCAAATAAACCTACCATTAAAATTATAGACTGATCATGTCTTTGTCAGTGGGCAAACGTACAAAATCACCAGGGGATCAAATACTTTTTTCCCTCAGTGTATTTCTGCTTAGGAGTTGAGCGGATGTCCTTCTGGTTAAAATCATATTTCCCTTGTGCTTTGCATAAACTTCTCTTTTCCTTTTTTATATTTTAATTGTGCTATTTGAGCACTATCTTTTATAATGTCCATTTTAAAAGGGCATAGGGTGCCATTTGGGACGTAACCATGTCATCAGACGACCTCTGACCTTTGAGAAAGGCCCTGTATGTAATAGTAGACTTTCTCTTCTCTCTCAGGAGGAGAGGAAGGACAGAAGAGGAAGAGGAGTAAGCCCGAGGCCTTCCCCACAGCAGAGGACATCTTCTCCAAATTCCAGCATCTCTCCCACTTTGACCAGCACCAGGTCACCTCTCAGGTGAGAGAGACCCCCCCCCCCCCCCCCCCCCCCCTCTCAAGTTATTCTGTAAAAATAGATACTGATGATATGTCCACCATTCAATACTTCCAAGGAAGTCGCATTTAAATGATTCCCATAAAACCACATCTTTCACTGCAAACTGATATTTTCAATTACCTTTATTTTAATACTAGAGTATGTAATGTTATGGATATTCACAGTTATGTATTTACAGTAGGCCTGTGTGGATGTGTGAATAACCCTTTTGCCCTTCTCTCTGACTAGGTGTCCAGGAATGTTCTGGAACAGATCACCAGCTTTGCCTTAGGGATGTCCTATCACCTGCCCCTGGTCCAGCACATCCAGTTCATATTTGACCTCATGGAGTACTCCCTCAACATTAGTGGCCTCATCGACTTTGCCATTCAGGTACAGCTTTATCTCTAATGTCAATGCATTTGATCATAGCGTTGAATTACACTTCTCGTAGTTATACAGTTATATTTTCTATTTTATTCCATGGATGGTTTTAATATTTTTCTAACTAACCTTCTCTCGCTTCCCCTTTCCCGTGCCTGTGTGTGTGTGTGTGTACCTGTGTATCTAGCTGCTGAACGAGCTGAGCCTGGTGGAGGCAGAGCTGCTGCTCAAGTCGTCCAGCCTGGTGGGCAGCTACACCACGGGCTTGTGTCTGTGCATCGTGGCCGTGCTGCGGAGGTACCACTCCTGCCTCATCCTCAACCCCGAGCAGACGGCGCAGGTCTTTGACGGGTAAGTCACACAAGCTTAACTATTCACTTCAATAGCCTGGGGCGCTATCCAACCCCTAGGCATTCAGCTCTATTATATAGCCTGGTTGCCAGTCTGAATCGTCTTTAGCCATTGTATGGGCAAGGCAGTGACATGGCGTTATTGAATACAGAAACAGTCAGATACGTATTCACTGCCTATAAACCCGTCTCTGTTTTATACAGACCTAGGTCATAAAAAATTATAGCTAAATCAAATACTTTAGTATCAAATACGCCCCTCAAGTACTTTGGAGTTTGCACTTTTGGGACTATTCCATTGGTCCCCTTGTATCCTGCAAACTCAATTCAACCGGTCTTCCATAACTCATTTAGTACAGGAAGCTTTCTGTCCTTTGTTGTTTTGCATTAACGTGTTGAATTCTATTCATTGAGCAGGTTGCGCATCGTGGTGAAGTCAGGGGTGAACCCTGCAGACTGCTCCTCAGCCGAGCGCTGCATCCTGGCCTACCTGTATGACCTCTATACCTCCTGCAGTCACCTCAAGAGCAAGTTTGGAGAGATCTTCAGGTAAAACATCAACATGGACCATCAACTGTTGAATGCAGTTTTATTGTATTCTACAATTTCCCTGAGATTGTTTTAGGGGGCCAAGTCATGAAAAATGCTAACATTGTGTTGAAACCTAAATGTTTGGCCCCACATGGTAGCAATCTAATGATTGGAAAAACAATCAGTGTCCTTCCTCTCCCTCAGAGCAATGTATTTAGAGAGTTTTGGGCCAATATGAATATTTGTTCTAATTTTAGACATTCAGTTACATTGCATTGCTTAATATCCCCCATGTAATGTTAATTGGGAGCTAACATGGCTGCCATAGAATGTTGTAGTGCCATGTAAATGAATCATAATGCAGAAATGTCAATGTCCTAGCTCTCTAAATATATGGCTCTCCCTCCCTGGTCCAGTGAGTTCTGCTCCAAGGTAAAGAACTCCATCTATTGTAACATCGATCCGTCAGACTCCAACATGCTGTGGGACCCTGTGTTCATGATGGAGGCCATCGCCAACCCGTCGGCCCACAACTTCAACCACAGCATGGTGGGTAAGATCCTCAACGACAGCCCCGCCAACCGCTACAGCTTTGTCTGCAACGTCCTCATGGATGTGTGCGTGGACCACCGGGACCCCGAGAGGCAAGCATTGTTTTTCTATAAAACCGTTATCAATAATTGATTGTGGATATGTCCAGATGCATGGAAACAATACGGGAGTCTTGACTGTCAACTCACCAGTTATACGTATCTTACATGAATTATATAGTAAGGTGTTATGCGTTGAATTCCCATCTCTGTGTGTCTATTTATGCAGGGTGAATGACATTGGGATCCTGTGTGCGGAGCTGACTGCGTACTGTCGCTCTCTGAGTGCTGAGTGGCTGGGCGTCCTCAAGGCCCTCTGCTGCTCCTCCAACAACGGCAACTGTGGCTTCAATGACCTGCTGTGCAACGTGGACGTGAGTGTGTTCATACGCAGCTCTTTCTCTCTACACCAATTAATATGCATTCAGATTCAGAGAGTTTAATACTCACGTGTACAGGGTTGCAGATGTAATTACAAGGTACAGTGAAATTCTTGATCTCCGATGCAGGACAATAAAATAATAAAAATATACATAATAATATATACATATTAACTGTGGCAATGATAATGTCCATTGGGGTGGGGGCAGGGTAAATGTCAGTTGAGGGGAGTTGGAAATGTCCATAGGGGGAGCAGCGGGGGGAGGGTGGGTAGGAAGACCGGGGGAGTAGGTGGGGGGACAGGGGGAGCAGATAGCTGACTAGTGGTGGCAATTCAGTTGCCATGATGCTCCTATACTGCCCACGTCTGAGTGATGGAAACGGGGAGAACAGGCCATGGCTAGGGTGGCTGGGTGCCCTGATGATCTTCTTGGCCTTCCTGTGACACCTGGTGTTGTAGGTGTCCTGGAGGGCAGGCAGTGTGCATCCAATGGTGTGTTCGGCTGAGCGTACCACCCTCTATAGCGCCATGTGGTCTGCGGCGGAGGAGTTACCGTACCAGACTGTGATTCAGCCCGACAGTATGCTCTCGATGGTGTTCCTGTAGAACACTGTGAAGGCCCTCAGGGACAGGCCAAATTTCTTCAGCATCCTGAGGTTGAAGAGCCGCTTATCGTGGTTTGATCATTTCTGCTCCTCGGAAATGTGTACGCAGAGGAACTTGCCGTTTTTGACCGTCTCCCCGGCGGCCCAGTTGATGAGGATGGGGGCGTGCCCAGCCTGGTTCCTCCTGAAGTCCACAATCAGCTCATTTGTTTTTCTGTTGTTGAGGGAGAGGTTGTTTACCTGGCACCACCCCGTCAGAGTGCCTACCTCCTCACGGTAGGCCGTCTCATTGTTGTTGGTAATTAGGCTACTGTCGTCAGCGAACTTGATCATGTAGTTGGAGCTATGTGAGGCCACGCAGTCGGGTATACAGGGAGTACAGGAGGGGACTGAGGACGCACCCTTGTGGGGCCCCCGTGTTGAGAATCAGTGTCGAGGAGGTAATGTTGCCTATCTTCACCACCTGGGGGGCGGCCCGTCAGGAAGTCCAGGACCCAGTTGCATAAGGAGGAGTTCAGTCCCAGGGCCGTGAGCTTTGTGGTGATGTTAGCGGGCACTATGGTATTGAAGGCCGAGCTGTAGCCGATGGACAGCATCCTCACATATGCATTCCTTTTTGTCCAGGTGGGTGAGGGCAGCGCAATGGCGATTGCGTCGTCCGTGGATCTGTCAGGGCGGTAGTTGAATTGGAGAGGGTCGAGTGTGTCGGGGAGGGAGGAGGTGATATGGTCTTTGACTAGCCTCTCAAAGCACTTCATGATGACGGAAGTGAGTGTTATGGGTCGGTAGTCATTCAGTTCAGTTACTTTCCCTTTCTTGGGCATGGGGATGATAGTGGACATCTTGAAGCAGGTGGGGATAGCGGCCTGAGCTAGAGAGATTTGAAAATGTCCGAACACACAACAGCCAGCTGGTCTGCACATGCTCTGAGGGCACAGCTAGGGATGGCGTTTGGGACGGCAGCCTTGCGAGGTTTAACACATTTGTATGACTTAAGTGGGTCTTTGAGAGACCGTAAGTGGGTCTTTCTATAAATAATGGGGCCAATGTGTGACATTGGGATTAACATTTAAAAATGGTTTGAAACAAAAATTAAAAGGATTTTCATGCAGTTCCACATGTGTACTTAGAGGAACAAAAGTGAAAATATGCAAATTGGCCCATAACTGTCTATACAACAACATGGGCTACCCTAGGACTATACAGTGCATTCAGAAAATACTTCTTCACATTTTGTTATGTTACAGCCTTATTCTAAAATTGATTAAATTGTTTTTTCCCCTCATCAATCTACACACAATACCCCATAATGGCAAAGCAAAAAAAGGTTATTTGAAATTTTAGCAAATGTCCCCAAATTTTTTTTGGGGGAAATATCACATTTACGTAAGTATTCAGACCCTTTACTCAGTACTTTGGCAGCGATTATAGCCTCGTGTCTTCTTGGGTATGACGCTACAAACGTGGCACACCTGTATTTGGGGAGTTTCTCCCATTCTTCTCTGCAGATCCTCTCAAGCTCTGTCAGGTTGGATGGGGAGCGTCACTGCACAGCTATTTTCAAATCAAATCAAATCAAATTTTATTGGTCACATGCGCCGAATACAACAGGTGCAGACATTACAGTGAAATGCTTACTTACAGCCCTTAACCAACAGTGCATTTATTTTAAACAAAAAAGTAAGAATAAAACAACAACAAAAAAAGTGTTGAGAAAAAAAGAGCAGAAGTAAAATAAAGTGACAGTAGGGAGGCTATATATACAGTAAAATAAAGTGACAGTAGGGAGGCTATATATACAGGGGGGTACCGTTGCATAGTCAATGTGCGGGGGCACCGGCTAGTTGAGGTAGTTGAGGTAATATGTACATGTGGGTAGAGTTAAAGTGACTATGCATAAATACTTAACAGAGTAGCAGCAGCGTAAAAAGGATGGGGTGGGGGGGCAGTGCAAATAGTCCGGGTAGCCATGATTAGCTGTTCAGGAGTCTTATGGCTTGGGGGTAGAAGCTGTTGAGAAGTCTTTTGGACCTAGACTTGGCACTCCGGTACCGCTTGCCGTGCGGTAGCAGAGAGAACAGTCTATGACTAGGGTGGCTGGAGTCTTTGACAATTTTGAGGGCCTTCCTCTGACACCGCCTGGTATAGAGGTCCTGGATGGCAGGGAGCTTTGCCCCAGTGATGTACTGGGCCGTACGCACTACCCTCTGTAGTGCCTTGCGGTCAGAGGCCAAGCAGTTGCCATACCAGGCGGTGATGCAACCAGTCAGGATGCTCTCGATGGTGCAGCTGTAGAATTTTTTGAGGATCTGAGGACCCATGCCAAATCTTTTTAGTCTCCTGAGGGGGAATAGGCTTTGTCGTGCCCTCTTCACGACTGTCTTGGTGTGTTTGGACCATGATAGTTCGTTGGTGATGTGGACACCAAGGAACTTGAAGCTCTCAACCTGTTCCACTACAGCCCCGTCGATGAGAATGGGGGCGTGCTCAGTCCTCTTTTTTTTCCTGTAGTCCACAATCATCTCCTTTGTCTTGGTCACGTTGAGGGAGAGGTTGTTGTCCTGGCACCACACGGCCAGATCTCTGACCTCCTCCCTATAGGCTGTCTCATCGTTGTCGGTGATCAGGCCTACCACTGTTGTGTCGTCGGCAAACTTAATGATGGTGTTGGAGTCGTGCCTGGCCATGCAGTCATGGGTGAACAGAGAGTACAGGAGGGGACTGAGCACGCACCCCTGAGGGGCCCCCGTGTTGAGGATCAGTGTGGCAGATGTGTTGTTACCTACCCTTACCACCTGGGGGCGGCCCGTCAGGAAGTCCAGGATCCAGTTGCAGAGGGAGGTGTTTAGTCCCAGGATCCTTAGCTTAGTGATGAGCTTAGAGGGCACTATGGTGTTGAATGCTGAGCTGTAGTCAATGAATAGCATTCTCACGTAGGTGTTCCTCTTGTCCAGGTGGGAAAGGGCAGTGTGGAGTGCGATAGAGATTGCATCATCTGTGGATCTGTTGGGGCGGTATGCAAATTGGAGTGGGTCTAGGGTTTCTGGGATTATGCTGTTGATGTGAGCCATGACCAGTCTTTCAAAGCACTTCATGGCTACAGACGTCAGTGCTACGGGTCGGTAGTCATTTAGGCAGGTTATCTTAGAGTTCTTGGGCACGGGGACTATGGTGGTCTGCTTGAAACATGTTGGTATTACAGACTCAGTCAGGGACATGTTGAAAATGTCAGTGAAGACACTTGCCAGTTGGTCAGCACATGCTCGGAGTACACGTCCTGGTAATCCGTCTGGCCCTGCGGCCTTGTGAATGTTGACCTGCTTAAAAGTCTTACTCACATCGGCTACGGAGAGCGTGATCACATAGTCGTCCGGAACAGCTGGTGCTCTCATGCATGCTTCAGTGTTGCTTGCCTCGAAGTGAGCATAGAAGTGGTTTAGCTCGTCTGGTAGGCTTGTGTCACTGGGCAGCTCGCGGCTGTGCTTCCCTTTGTAGTCTGTAATAGTTTTCAAGCCCTGCCACATCCGACGAGCGTCAGAGCCAGTGTAGTATGATTCAATCTTAGACCTGTATTGACTCTTTGCCTGTTTGATGGTTCGTCGGAGGTCATAGCGGGATTTCTTATAAGCGTCCGGGTTAGAGTCCCGTTCCTTGAAAGCGGCAGCTCTACCCTTTAGCTCAGTGCGGATGTTTCCTGTAATCCATGGCTTCTGGTTGGGGTATGTACGTACGGTCACTGTGGGGACGACATCATCGATGCACTTATTGATGAAGCCAGTGACTGATGTGGTGTACTCCTCAATGCTGTCTGAAGAATCCCGGAACATGTTCCAGTCTGTGCTAGCAAAACAGTCCTGTAGCTTAGCATCTGCGTCATCTGACCACTTTTTTATTAGCCGAATCACTGGTGCTTCCTGCTTCAGTTTTTGCTTATAAGCAGGAATCAGGAGGATAGAGTTATGGTCAGATTTGCCAAATGGAGGGCGAGGGAGAGCTTTGTATGCGTCTCTGTGTGTGGAGTAAAGGTGGTCTAGAGTTTTTTCACCTCTGGTTGCACATTTTAACATGCTGGTAGAAATGAGGTAGAACGGATTTAAGTTTCCCTGCATTAAAGTCCCCGGCTACTAGGAGCGCTGCATCTGGATGAGCGTTTTCCTGTTGATTAATGGCCTTGTACAACTCATTCAGTGCAATCTTAATGCCAGCATTGGTTTGTGGTGGTAAATAGACAGCTATGAAAAATATAGATGAAAACTCTCTTGGTAAATAGTGTGGTCTACAGCTTATCATAAGATACTCTACCTCAGGCGAGCAAAACCTCGAGACTTCCTTAGTATTTGATTTTGTGCACCAGCTGTTGTTTACAAATATACACAGACCGCCGCCCCTTGTCTTACCAGAGTCAGACGTTCTGTCCTGCCGATGTAGCGTATAGCCTGCTAGCTGAATGTTGTCATTGTTGTCGTTCAGCCACGACTCCGTGAAACATAAGATATTACAGTTTTTAATGTCCCGTTGGTAGGATAACCGTAATCTTAAATCGTCAATTTTATTCTCAAAAGATTGAACGTTGGCTAATAGGATTGATGGGAGAGGCAGTTTACTCGTTCGCCGTCGGATCCTTACAAGGCACCCGGATCTGCGTCCACGATATCTCCGTCTCTTCCTCACGCGAATGACGGGGATCTGGGCCTTGTTGGGTGTCTGTAGAATATCCTTCGCGAACGCCTCGTTGAAGAAAAAGTCTTCGTCCAACGCGAGGTGAGTAATCGCTGTCCTGATATCCAGAAGCTCTCTTTGGTTATAAGAGACGATGGCAGAAACATTATGTACAAAATAAATTACAAATAACGCGGAAAAACACACATAATAGTACAATTGGTTAGAGGGCTGTAAAACGGCAGCCATCTTCTTCCGGCTCTGTTCTCATTCAGGTCTCATTCAGGTCTCATTCAGGTCTCTCCAGAGATGTTAGATCGGGTTTAAGTCCGGGTTCTGGCTGGGCCACTCAAGGACATTCAGAGACTTGTCCCGAAACCACTCCTGCGTTGTTTTGGCTGTGTGCTTAGGGTCGTTGTCCTGTTGAAAGGTGAACCTTCGCCCCAGTCTGAGGTCCTGAGTGCTTCGGAGCAGGCTTTTATCAAGGATCTCTCTGTACTTTGCTCCATTCATCTTTCCCTTGATCTAGTCTCCCAGTCCCTGCCATTGAAAAACATCCCCACAGCATGATGCTGCCACCACCATGCTTCACCGTAGGGATGGTGCCAGGTTTCCTCCAGACGTGACGCTTGGCATTCAGGCCAAAGAGTTCAATCTTGGTTTCATCAGACCAGATAATCTTTTCTCATGGTCTGAGTCCTTTAGGTGCCTTTTGGCAAACTCTAAGCGGGCTGTCATGTGCCTTTTACTGAGGAGTGGCTTCCGTCTGGCCACTCTACCATAAAGGCCTGATTGGTGGAGTGCTGCAGAGATGGTTGTCCATCTGGAAGGTTCACCTATCTCTACAGAGGAACTCTGGAGCTCTGTCAGAGTGACCATCGGGTTCTTGGTCACCTCCCTGACCAAGGCCCTTCTCCAATGATTGCTCAGTTTGGCTGGGCGGCCAGCTCTAGGAAGAGTCTTGGTGGTTCCAAACTTCTTCCATTTAAGAATGATGGAGGCCACTGTGTTCTTGGGGACCTTCAATGCTGCAGAAATGTTTTGGTACCTTTCCCCAGATCTGTTCCTCGACACAATACTGTCTCGGAGCTCTACGGACAATTCCTTCGACCTCATTGCTTGGTTTTTGCCCTGACATGCACTTTCAACTGTGGGACCTTATAGAGACAGGTGTGTGTGTACCTTTCCAAATCATGTCCAATCAATTGAATTAACCACAGGTGGACTCCAATGAAGTTGTAGAAACGTCTCTTTCGGGGTCTTTTTCAAGCACTTAATTGTCATTTTCAAGGACGTCAATGTTAAACAATTGTATAATTTATATAATTGTACATATAGGGCCTAGTATAGCAGCAGCTCTGCCGCCACCCCAAAAAGAAAAGCTTGCAAAAGTGTCAAAAAAGTAGACCATTACCACTTTAAGAATAATGAGGCCTTGCCAATGCATTAATATTCAAATTTTTATTACATTCAAAAATATGTTCGAATAATGTGGACATTGCCTGACAAATAGATTGAATGCATGCATGGTGATTTTTCTGTAACCTATGTGGTCGACGCAGGCACAAATAAAGCCATGTATAGCGGAAGCATTTGAATCTCACCATCGCTTTTTTTATAATTAGAAAGTGACCAAAAACCAGGTTCCTTTTTTAATGGAAGGATTTTGTATAGAAAGCCAAGTTGAAGCCAGCATTAGATGTGGTCTTCCTCATAATAACCGCACGTGGTTTTACCGCAACAGAGTAGTGCAACACCCTTCAATTGAAGCGGTGGGAAACACACTAAAGTGGACACATCACTCAAAAAAACAGATAAAAAATGAAATTAAAGGTAATTATAAGGGAGCAGGAGAACGTATATATTGGCTACAAAAATTACAAGGACTTTTCAAGCACAAATTGAGGAAATTATTTTCAAGGTAGGCCTATTTCAGTACTTTAATTTCTGAGCTCCAAATTCAAGTAGGCTACTTCAAGCTCCTTGTATGGTTTAAAATTGCAGGTGTAACATGGAAAGCAAAATGTATTTGTCATGTTATTTCATTACCAGATCATATTGTGAATAACCCCACTAGGCTAAATGTACTTTTTTTTATCATTATATCCAGAATAGTTCATAGGAATAGCGTTGGGTGTTGCGTAGTAGTCTATCCGATACAATTGCGAACAGTAGACTGTGTCCATTCCGAGGCACTAAAACATGAAAACAACCGGCAGAAACAAATAACACTGTCTCCCGACCCCCCCGACATCACTTGGATGTCATTCGGAAAATTCCTTCCTGGATCAGATGATGATGTGTGAAAATATCATGGCATAACTAATCAGATGGACACCAAATGCGCATCCAACAAGTATTATGCATAATTATTGAAGAACCACGTTAACGACAGTATCGATTTTAGGTTTTAAGTATCAAGGTAAGGTGACTCTTTCGGTTAGAAGCATTCAATCTTTCAATCGCATACATTATTTTGTATTTGTGTGCCCATAACATAAGGCAGGGTTTCCCCAAACTCTGTCCTCGGGACCCCAAGGGGTACACATTTTAGATTTTTGCCCTAGCACTACACAGCTGATTCAAAAAACAACTAATCATTAAGCTTTGATCATTTTAATCAGCTGTGTCGTGTTAGGGCAAAAACCAAAATGTGCACCCTTTGGAGTCCCGAGGAGGACAGGGTTTGGGGAATGATGACATAAGGTGACACAAAATGTTACGTAGTTACACTGAATTTCTGAGATCTCTATACAAAAAACTGACTGACAGCTAGATCCTGGATTCTTACAGGGTTCAAGTTCAATGTCTAATTTAACTGATGATGCTTAATATATGATATCACGGCAACTTACACTGCCATACATGCAAGGACAGAAAAGTAATGTTTTGTCACATGATTTTAAACAAATCTGTCAACCAACCATGAAAAAGGGTTAAACAGGTTTTAAATCAACTTGTGCATTCGGAAAGTATTCAGACCCCTTGATTTTTTCCACATTTTGTTACGTTACAGCCTTATTCTAAAATGGATCTAAAAAATGTTTTCCCTCAATCTACACACAATACCCCATAATGACAAAGCAAAAACAGGTTTTTAGAAATGTTTGCAAAAAAATAAATAAAAAAATAACATACCTTATTCAGACCCTTTGCTATGAGACTCGAAATTGAGTTCAGGTGCATCCTGTTTCCGTTGATCATCCTTGAGATGTTTCTACAACTTGATTGGAGTCCACCTGTGGTAAATTCAATTGATTGGACATGATTTGGAAAGACACACACCTGTGTATATAAGATCCCACAGTTGACAGTGCATGTCTGAGCAAAAACCAAGCCATGAGGTCGAAGGAATTGTCCGTAGAGCTCCGAGGCAGGATTGTGTCGAGGCACAGATCTGGGAAATTGTACCAAAACATTTCTGCAGCATTGATGGTCCCCAAAAACACAGTGGCCTCCATCATTCTTAAATGGAAGAAGTTTGGAATCACCAAGACTCTTCCTAGAGCTGGCCGCCCAGCGAAACTGAGCAATCGGGGGAGAAGGGCCTTGGTCAGGGAGGTGACCAAGAACCCGATGGTCACTCTGACAGAGCTCCAGAGTTCCTCTGTGGAGATGGGAGAACCTTCCACCAATCAGGCCTTTATGGTAGAGTGGCCAGACGGAAGCCACTCCTCAGTAAAAGGCACATGACAGCCCGCTTGGAGTTTGCCAAAAGGCACCTAAAGGACGGGGGTGGCAGCATCATGCTGTGGGGATGTTTTTCAGCGGCAGGGACTGGGAGACTAGTCAGGATCGACGGAAAGATGAATGGAGCAAAGTACAGAGATCCTTGATATAACTTGCTCCAAAGCAGGAACTCCTACTGGGGTGAAGGTTCAACTTCCAACAGGACAGCGACCCAAAGCACACAGCCAAGACAACGCAGGAGTGGCTTCGGGACAAGTCTCTGAATGTCCTTGAGTGGCCCAGCCAGAGCCCGGACTTGAACTCGATCGAACATCTCTGGAGAGACCTGAAAATAGCTGTGCAGCGACGCTTCCCATCCAACCTGACATAGCTTGAGGATCTGCAGAGAAGAATGGGAGAAACTTCCCAAATACAGGTGTGCCAAGCATGTAGTGAAGGGTCTGAATACTTATGTAAATGTGATATTTCATTTTTTATAAATGTACAAACATTTCTAAAAACCATGGGGTTTGAATACTTTCCGAATGCACTGTAGCTATATCTTAATGTAATTACATGAAAATATTTAGCTTATTAGCAATGACTTATCAACAGCTGTAACAAGTTGTCCAGCATAGGAAATTCTCACTAGTACCCTAGTTTATAGAATGACCCAAGTACGTAACCCTTGTTGTCCTCCGGGGCTGTCCTTGGCTGCTCAGTCGTCGTTGTGCTCGAAACGTGAGGAAAAAAGTGTTTAGCTCGTCTGGTAGGGCGGCATTGGTGTCCGCGACGTGGCTGGCTTTCTTTTTGTAATCCGTGATCATTAGGAGCCCCTGACACATGCACCTCGTATCCGACCCGCTGAATGCTCCTCTGGCTCTGAGAGGCATGGTTAGAGCGGAACACACACAGTAACATTCCAGCAATTCTCTCTACACCAATACGCGTTGAATAATTAGCAGTCCACATCAAATTTGAACATCTCCTTCTCTCTGTTTCCCTCACAGGTCAGTGATCTCTCCTTCCATGACTCCCTGGCCACCTTCGTAGCCATCCTCATTGCCCGTCAGTGTCTTCTCCTGGAGGACCTGGTCCGCTGCGTAGCCATCCCCTCCCTACTCAACGCTGGTAAGAGCCCGTCTCTCACCCCCAGACCCAATGACAGGGTCCTCTTCATAAGGCACCAAACGGAAGAAAACAGAGTGAAATAGGGAGGGACTACCTGTACGTTCATTTTCATTTTTCCGTTGCTAAATGTTTTGAAGCGTTTTCGTTGCATGCCCTAATGAACACCACCGAGGCCTTACTCTAATATTCTTAGATCCCAGTCTCCTATTTAATCTAGCCTAAACTCTCTGCGGCACGTCTTGCTATTCATTGTAATCAGAGGGCTACTATAAATACTATGCATGCCAATCTCTCTTGGATAAGAGTTGAGGAAAGACTGACTGCATCACTGCTTCTTTTTATAAGAAACAATGTGTTGAACATCCCAAATTGTTTGCGTAGTCAACTTACACACAGCTCTGACACACACACTTACAAATTCAAGAAAGCGTACAGTATTATATAGAGCTATTATTGCATGGAGCTCCGTTCCATCTCATATTGCTCAAATGAACAGCAAACCTGGTTTAAAAAAACTGATAAAGCAACACCTCACGGCACAACGCCTCTCCCCTATTTGACTTAGATAGTTTGTGTGTATGTATTGATATGTAGCCTACGTGTGACTTAAAAAAAAAAATGAAGTTCTGTCCTTGAGCTGTTCTTGTCTATTAATGTTCTGTATTATGGCATGTTTCATATTTTGTGTCGACCCCAGGAAGAGTAGCTGCTGCTTTTGCAACAGCTAATGGGGATCCTACTAAAATACCAAATATAAATGAGTTTACAGTACACAGAGGCCCTGTCTGCCTGCCTCTCCAGGCTTTGAAGATACTCCCATCCCCATAATGCATTACCTACTTCGGTCTTTTCTGTCTGAGCGGGAGGTAAACACCAGTGTGTGTGTGTGGTGGCCAGTCAAGGCTGCCTCTCGCTCAGAGGACAAGGCCCCATTCAGCCTGTTTTCTAAGTCCCCTGTGAAGTTGTCACGTGCTGCCAGACCCCGCTCCACGTCTCCTCCTCAGCCAGCAGTTCAGCTATGTGTCAGATTCTTCTTTGCCGACGTTCCTTCGCAGCCCAGCTCTGAAAAGGCCACTTAGTATTTGGTACTCCTTGAAAGTCAATTTAGGACACATTCCAAATTCTTCAAGAGCTTCTGTTCTCTGTAGTTGGGTGTTATTCATTTCCATGTCATCACATCTTGAAGCTTAGGGCTGTTAGTGTAAAGTCTATTGTTTTTTTGTCATATTGGTTAGAGATTTTCACGGGTCCGGGCAGACCCGATATACCCGAGACCGGGTCCTGTTTGATTGTCATCGGTTCTATGTAACTGCAGCTGACCCGAGCATAGCCTCTATAGCATATTTATTTTACGCTAATAAGGTGAATTTATTGACTTATAGAGGGCCTAAGCCAACATATAAAAACCTATTGTTTAACCAGAAGACCAACTTACCTGATAAGCGTTTGTTTTGTCACTGGTCCAATCGGATCTGGTCTACACCCGGACCTGTCAGGGTTTGGGTCGGGTCTAGGTCGATTTGTCCTCGGGTCCATCCAGGTCCAACTTTTTGGTCCTGTGAAGACCTCCAATACTGGTCATTCATTATGTTTTATAACATTTTTGGGAGGTGAAATATTTGACTTATTACGAACCGGCTCGTAGCCCGTGACAAAGAGGGAGACAACGCGGAGATAAAGAAATAACGAACATATATCTATTAAATAAAGTAAACTATATACAAGCAACACTGGTGTGTGTAGTCAGTAGTGTAGATGAGTGGATGCGTGCATAGATGGTGATAATGGGAGGTGCCAAAACAAAATGCCTGCGTGGAGAGAGTCTCCTCGATGTTTGGGGGGAAGGTGTATTTATCCCCGGGACACACCCGAGCCCAGGTGTGTCCCGTTTAGCTGACGATCCTCCCAGCTCCGCCCACCGACATCCTATTAAGGAAAACAAGAGCAGAGAGAAAGAATTCGGCAGACAGAGTGGGAGGGTCGTCACACTTTGCTAAAGCAGCTTTAATCCCCTTCAGATTCATTGTTGAGGTTGTGTGTGACTGGCTGTGTGTGTACCCCTACTAACCTACCTCTCTCTCTGTGTGTCTCTCCTCCCAGCCTGCAGTGAGCAGGACTCTGAGCCCGGAGCCCGTCTGACCTGCAGGATTCTGCTGCACCTCTTCAAGACCCCCCAGCGCAACCCCTGCCCCCAGGATGGAGCCAAGTCAGGTACACACAAAGCTAACCCCCCCTCCTGCACCAAGAACGGTCCCCTCTACATCCCCAAGCAAACTAATTCCAAGTTTGATCCCACATCGGATAAAATGTTAATGAATTAATATATGTTTTGATTTAATGGAAATGTTAATGCTATGATTTTATATTTTGCAGATAAATCTTCTGTTGGGATCCGGTCGTCGTGTGATCGCCACCTACTGGCTGCCTCGCAGAACAGCATAGTGGTCGGAGCTGTCTTTGCTGTCCTAAAGGCTGTCTTTATGCTGGGTAATACTCTCAGTATTATGCTATTATTTTGTCCTTAAAGTTGCATATGAGTCCAATTTGACAATTGAATGTGAATAGATTTATGTAATTATAGTTATTAAAGTGGAACTGACAGCGTTTTAGCAACATTAAATCTTATTCAAATCTGTTCATATACATACCCAGGATATTTTTCTACACTTTCTGACAAGCGAGTACATCGATATCGTAATTTTCACGTTTTCATAAATTCATAGAATGTTTCGTAATGTTAAGGCATTTGTGAAAATTCTATAGCAATATAGAGTGGGAAAGTGGCCATGCATTTGGACAATTAATAGACACTGCAGTAAATAAAACCTAAGAAAAGCATCTGTCTTGTCCAGGACCGGAGTCTACGCAGACCAGTGCGCCATAGCCAATCAGAGCGACAATAGGCCTATATGCAAATAAGCCATTTGCCACAAGGGCCTGCCATCATTCACTGTGACCTGGACTGTGTGGTTACAGGCAGTAGCAACAGCACGACTTTAGATCATTAGAACGCATTCGCCAAAAGCCACAAAATACACCTGAATGGATTCCTGCAAATATGTAAACACCACAGGTGTCCTCTTACATTTGGGAATTGCACAGTCCTATTGATCAATCAACCATGAAAAGGTAGGCTCTCTCCCTCAGTTGCCTATGCCATCACAAAGATCAACAAATGAAGCGCAATCAACAACTAACGAGGAATGATTAGATACCACTTTCGCTAGTTGCCGTCAATGGTACTGATAAACATTTTACATTAATTTAGTCTTTAGCAGACGCCTTATCCAGGCGACTAGTTAGTGAAACCATTTTTCATACTGGCATGCTCTATAACTGGGCTACATACCTGCCGGCCATTCTCCCCAGGCGCCTGGACACGTGCCAGTCGCCTGCTCGTCCTTCTCGCCGCTTGTCATGGCTGAGGCTTGTCCCAATGCACGTTTTGACAACTGAATGGGAACTTGCCTACCTGCCAGCCCATTTGATCGATGCCAAAAACATTTCATAGACTAAGAGATATTCTAACTGTCGATAAGTCGTTTAAGTTCAGCATGGCTAGCTAGCAAAGCGATTCACATTTCTTGCTAGCTAACCATCTCTAGCTGTACCGAAAAACGATATGAAGGGGAAAAAGTCGGTCACTCATCCCACTCCTCCAATGACATGACATCCTCCCAGCAGCTAGCTAGCTATATAGCTAACGTTAGGTTCCGTGTTTTTAGCTTGCTAAATAAATAGCTAGCTACATAAATAGATAGGCTAACCCAGGGGTGTCAAACTCAATCAGCGCACAGGCCATATTGAAAAAACTACAAATTCACGGGCCAGACATAGCCTATTTGTTTTTACAAATAAAAGTGCAACTGCGACCCAAACTGGCCGTTGTTTCATTAGAAAAAGTATGCCCCTTTTATAATGTCCACTTATGTACGTAGGCTGCTATACAGTGCATTCGTAAAGTATTCAGACCCGTTTTACTTTTTCCACATTTTGTTACGTTACAGACTTATTCTAAAATTGATTGAATTATTCCTTTTCTCATCAATCTGCACACAATACCCCATAATGACAAAGCAAAAAACAGGTTTTTAGAAATTGTTGCAAATGTATAAAAAACAGATACCTTATTTACATAAGTATTCAGACCCTTTGCTATGAAACTTGAAATTGAGCTCAGGTGCATCCTGTTTCCATTGATCATCCTTGAGATGTTTCTACAACTTGATTGGAGTCCACCTGTGGTAAATTCAATTGATTGGACATGATTTGGAAAGGCACACACCTGTCTATATACAGCTCTGGAAAACATTAAGAGACCACTGCAAAAATATAAGTTTCTCTGGTTTTACTATTTATAGGTATGTGTTTGGGTGAAATTAACATTTTTGTTTATTCTATAAACTACTGACAACATTTCTCCCAAATTCCAAATAAAAATATTGTCATTTAGAGCATTTATTTGCAGAAAATGACAACTGGTCAAAATAACAAAAAATATGCAGTGTTGTCAGACCTCGAATAATGCAAAGAAAATAAGTTCATGTTCATTTTTAAACAACACAATACTAATGTTTTAACTTAGGAAGAGTTCAGAAATCAATATTTGGTGGAATAACCCTGATTTTCAATCACAGCTTTCATGCGTCTTGGTAGGCTCTCCACCAGTCTTTCACATTGATGTTTGTTGACTTTATGCCACTCACTCCTGGCGCAAAAATTCAAGCAGCTCGGCTTTGTTTGATGGCTTGTGACTCTCCATCTTCCTCTTGATCACATTCAATAAGTTTTTCAATGGGGTTCAGGTCTGGAGATTGGGCTGGCCATGACAGGGTCTTGATCTGGTGGTCCTCCATCCACACCTTGATTGACCTGGCTGTGTGTCCTGCTGGAAAAAACAATCCTCAGAGTTGGGGAACAATTTCAGAGCAAAAGGAAGCAAGTTTTCTTCCAGGACAACCTTGTACGTGGCTTGATTCATGCGTCCTTCACAAAGACAAATCTGCCCGATTCCAGCCTTGCTGAAGCACCCCCAGATCATCACCGATCCTCCACCAAATTTCACAGTGGGTGCGAGACACTGTGGCTTGTAGGCCTCTCCAGGACTCTGTCTAACCATTAGACGACCAGGTGTTGGGCAAAGCTGAAAATTGGACTCATCAGAGAAGATGACCTTACTCCAGTCCTCTACGGTCCAATCCTTATGGTATTTTGCAAACCTCAGCCTGGATCTTCTTTGCTTCTCATTGATGAAGGGCTTTTTTCTAGCTTTGCACGACTTCAGCCCTGCCCCTAGGAGCCTGTTTCGAACCGTCCTCACCTTGCACTTCACCCCAGCTGCCGTTTGCCATTCTTTTTGTAGGTCACTTGATGTCATCCTATGGTTGTTGAGTGACATTCGAATGAGTTGGCGGTCATCCCGGTTAGTAAAGAGTCATTTTCCCCCTATGCCGGTCTGTAGCTTTGTTGTCCCCAATGTCTGCTGCTTGACCTTGTTCTTATGAACCGCCGTCTTTTGAAATTTTAAGGATGGAAGCAACTTGACGCTCACTGTATCCCTCTGCCAGTAAAGCCACAATTGAACCCTTCTTTTCCTCACATTCAGATGATCACCTAATCAGTACCTAATTCAGTAGAATGAGGTGTGCCTGTGTTGGAATTCAACAGACACTGGAATGGAATGGCTGTCATACATGTAGAGATGCTGATTTAAGAAAAATTTGCAGTGGTCTCTTAATTTTTTTCCAGAGCTGTAAGGTCCCACAGTTGACAGTGCATGTCTGAGGAAAAACCAATCCATGAGGTCGAAAGAATTGTCCTGAGAAAGCTCAGAGACAGGATTTTGTTGAGGCACAGATCTGGGGATGGGTACCAAAAAATGTCTTCAGCATTGAAGGTCCCCAAGAACACAGTGGCCTCATCATTCTTAAATGGAAGAAGTTTGGAACCACCAAGACTCTTCCTAAAGCTGGCCGCCCGGCCAAACTGAGCACTCGGGGGAGAAGGGCGTTGGTCAGGGAGGTGACAAAGAACCCGATGGTCACTGACAGAGCTCAAGAGATCCTCTGTGAAGATGGGAGAACCTTCCAGAAGGAAAACCATCTCTGCAGCACTCCACCAATCAGGAATTTATGGTAGAGTGACCAGACGGAAGCCACTCCTCAGTAAAAGGCACATGAAAGCCCGCTTGGAGTTTGCCAAAAGGCACCTAAAAGACTCTCAGATCATGAGAAACAAGATTCTCTGGTCTGATGAAACCAAGATTGAACTCGTTGGCCTGAATGCCAAGCGTCACGTCTGAATGAAACCTGGCACCATCCCTACGGTGAAGCATGGTGGTGGCAGCATCATGCTGTGGGGATGTTTTTCAGCGGCAGGGACTGGGAGACTAGTCAGGATCGAGGGGAAAGATGAATGGCGCAAAGTACAGAGATCCTTGCTGAAACTTGCTCCATAGCAGGACCTCAGACTGGGGCAAAGGTTCACCTTCCAACAGGATAACGACCCTAAGCACACAGCCAAGACAACTCAGGAGTGGCTTCGGAACAAGTCTCTGAATGTCCTTGAGTGGCCCAGCCAGAGCCCGGACTTGAAAATAGTTGTGCAGCGACGCTCCCCATCCAACCTGACAGAGCTTAAGAGGATCTGCAGAGAAGAATGGGAGAAACTCCCCAAATACAGGTGTGCCAAGCTTGTAGCGTCATACCCAAGAAGACGCAAGGCTGTAATCGCTGCCAGAGTAAAGGGTCTGAATACTTATGTAAATTTGATGTTTCAGTTTTGTAATTTGCAACAAATAAATGACTGTTTTTGCTTTGTCATGATGGGGTATTGTGTGTACATTGAGAAAAACAAACAATTTAATAAATTTTAGAATATGGCTAACGTAACAAAATGTGGAAAAATTCAAGGGGTCTGAGTACTTTCCCAGTGCACTGTATATAGCATTTTAACATATTAAAACAAAAGAAGAGATCAATATTTGTCCAGCCTTTGCGGCTATGCTTGCAGATGTGCATAACATTCATCAAAAAGTATTTAATAACTACAAATAACAAAAACGTAGCTGTAGGTTAAGGTTTAAACTTAAAACATGTTTTTATTTGTTTTGCACTGCATGGATCACCAGTGCGGTTGAATGCAGCATTGCTGTATGTATGGTGGACTCAAAATGTATTATAGATGAGTAGCCAGGCTAGGCTATTGCTCAAATGTTGCTGTAATAGGCCTGTACTTGTTGCTGTAATTCTCCTTTGCATGGTGTTTTGTTTTGGGGTTTTTCATTGTCAAGCTTTAAAAACCAAAGTCAGACTGCAACATTTTAGTAGCCTAGCTAGGACTGTGGCATGTGTCTGTATATTTTCCCTCCGCTGCGCGCTGTAAACGGGACACACAAAAGAGGCGCAATTGAAGTTGATTTCACCGACGCGATCACATCAGGCTGTAATTTCATAAAGTAGATGACTCAACTGTTGTCTCATTTATACTCGCTTGTGTGTCCTATTCGGCCCGTGGGCCTTGTGTTTGACACGTGTGCTAGCCTATTAGCCACGTTATGACTGACTTGTGATCATTGCATTGCTAGTTTGATTGTATTGACATTCCTAGCCTTAGTTACAGTCATCTGTTTTTGTTCAAGATATTGAGACATTGAAATTGAAACAGTGCATCCCGAATGGGTGGAGGCAGCAAACAATGTACCAGACCAGCTGTGATTTACAACCTGATAGCAATATTTTTTGGACTACCAAGAAATGTATTGGTGAATGTATTAATCATGCAGTGAACTGCCTCCATCTATTCTGCCAACAATGTCTTACTGTACTTCATGGAATTTTGAGTCAAATAGAACATATTTTAAAAAAACTAATATACATTGGTTTTGAAGCATAAACTGGGATTTTTATATATTTTACTGATAATATGATTGCCTGTTTCATATTTAAAATGCTGTCAGTTCCACTTTAAATGTGTCTATCTGTTACAACTGGTCACCAGTAAGACCACAGAAACCTGAAGTTATACATTTTTCTCTCCATCTCTCTCCAGGCGATGCAGAACTGAAGGGCTCGGGATTCTCTGACCCCGCCGGCCTCGACGACATCGCCGACGACGACATGGGTTCCAAGAAGTCGGGCGGCCACACAGTCTCCATAGAAACGGCCAGCCTAGACATGTACGCCAAGTATGTGCTGAAGAGCATCTGCCAACAGGTGAGAATATGTGGAAGGAGACCGTTCACACCAGGGTCAAATGTTTTGAACTTTTATATTTTCTCTCTTCCGTTTCACTCCCACACCAGAAGCTACATATTTCCAAATGCAGTACTTTCCAGGTGTGGAGTCAATTTAATTTGTTTCATTTTATTTCAGTCAATCCAGGAAGTAAACTGAAATTACAATTTTCCTCATTGAAAACCAACTGGAATTTCAGTTCATGCAAATAGGCTGACACGTTACGCTAAATTCCCCTGACGTGAATATAGCAACCTTGCTTCACAAAATTCCCCTGACATTTTGTATTTTATTAGGATCCCCATTAGCTGTTGCAAAAGCAGCAGCTACTCTTCCTGGGGTCCACACAAAACATGAAACATGCCATAATACAGAACAATAATAGACAAACAGCTCAAGGACAGAACTACATAAAAAAATTTTAATTTAAAGCCACACGGAGCCTACATATCAATACTACACACAAACTATCTAGGTCAAATAGGGGAAAGGCGTTTGTGCGGTGGAGGGTTGTTTTATCTGTTTTTTGAAAGCAGGTTTGCTGTTCGTTTGAGCAATATGAGATGGAACGGAGTTCCATGCAATAATGGCTCTATATAATACTGTATGCTTTCTTGAATTTGTTCTGGATTTGGGTACTGTGAAAAGACCCCTGGTGGCATGTCTGGTGGGGTAAGTGTGTGTGTCAGAGCTGTGTGGTAAGTTGACCTATGCAACATTTGGGGATTTTCAACACATTGTTTCCTTATAAAAGAAGAAGTGATTCAGTCAGTCTCTCCTCATAAAAAGGAAGAAGTGATTACATCAGATCCTCTGTTCTCCAGTTACTCTAATGACAGTTTACAATCTAAGGTAACACCAATTAATTTAGTCTCCTCAACTTGTTCAACAGCCCACACATTCATTACCACATTCAGCTAGGTCTAGAACTTAGTGAATGATTTATACCAAATACAATGCTCTTAGTTTTAAAGATGTTCAGGACCAGTTGATTACTGGCCACACATCCCAAAACAGACTGCAACTCTTTGTTAAGGGTTTCATTGACTTCATTAGCTGTGGTTGCTGATGCATATATGGTTGAATCATCAGCATACATGGACACACATGCTTTGTTTTAATGCCAGTGGAAGGTCATTGGTAAAAATAGAAAAGAGTAGCTGCCCTGCGTTACACCACACTTTACACGTTTGCCATTTAGAGAAGCTTCCATTTAAAGAAAACCCTTGGAGTTCTATTAGATGGATAGCTCTGAATCCACAATATGGCAGTGGTTGAAAAGCCATAACACACGTTTTTTCAACAACAGATTATGGTCAATAATATCAAAGGCTGCACTGAAATCTAACAGTACAGCTCCCACAATCTTCTTATTATCAATTTATTTCAACCAATCATCAGTCATTTGTGTCAGTGCAGTACATGTTGAGTGCCCTTCTCTATAAGCATGCTTAAAGTCTGTTGTTAATTTGTTAACAGATAAATAGCATTGGATTTGGTCAAACATAATTGTTTCCAACAGTTTGCTAAGAGCTGGCAACAAGCTTATAGGTCTGCTGTTAGAACGAGTAAAGGCCGCTTTACCACTCTCGGGTAGCGGAATTACTTTGGCTTCCCTCCAGGCCTGAGGACAAAGACGTTCCTCTAGGCTCAGATTAAAGATATGACAGATAGGAGTGGCTATAGAGTCAGCTACCATATTCAGTAGCTTTCCATCTAAGTTGTCAATGCCAGGAGGTTTGTCATTATTGATCGATAACAATAATTTTCACCTCTCCCACACTAACTTGACAAAATTCAAACTTGCAATGCTTTTCTTTCATTATTTGTGTTTTTATGCATGAATACGATGGCTCACTGTTCATTGTTGTCATTTCCTGCCTATGTTTGCCCACTTTGCCAATGAAGTAATCATTAAAATAATTGGCAACATCAAATGGTTTTGTGATGAATAAGCCATCTGATTCAATGAAAGATGGAGTTGAATTTGTCTTTCTGCCCATAATTTCATTTAAAAGACTCAAGTTTTCTTCCATCATTCTTTATATCATTGATCTTGGCTTCATAATACAGTTTCTTTTTTGTTGTTGAGTTTAGTCACATAATTTCTCAATTTGCAGTAAGTCAGCCAGTCAGATGTGCAGCCAGACTTATTAGCCACTCCTTTTGCCCAATCTCTTTCAACCAAACAGTGTTTCAATTCCTCATCAATCCATGGAGCCTTAACAGTTCTAACAGTCAGTTTCTTAACAGGTGCATGTTTATCAATAATTGAAAGAATCAATTTCATAAATTCATCAAGTGCAGAGTCTGGATGCTCCTTATTAATCACAGCAGACCAACAAATATTTTTAACATCATCCACATAAGACTCACAGCAAAATCTTTTGTAGGATCTCTTATACACTATTTTAGGCCCAGCTTTTGGAACTTTGGCTTTCCTGGATATAGCCACTATATTGTGATCACTGCATCTAATGGGTACGGATATAGCTTTACAACAAAGTTCTTCAGTATTAGTAAAAATGTGATCGATACATGTGGATGATCTTGTTCCTGTAGTGTTTGTAAACACCCTGGTAGGTTGATTAATAACCTGAACCAGGTTACAGGCACTGGTTACAGTTAGAAGCTTCCTCTTGAGCGGACAGCTTGATGAAAACCAGTCAATATTCAGGTCCCCAAGAAAGTAGACCTCTCTGTTTACATCACATACACTATCAAGCATTTCACACACATTATTTAGATACTGACTGTTAGCACTTGGTGGCCTATTGCATCACCCCAAAAGAAAAGGCTTTAGATGTGCCAAGTGAACCTGCAACCGCAACACTTCAATAACATTTGACATAAAATATTCTCTAAGCATTACAGGGATATGGCTCTGAATAAATATATATTGAAGTTTTGACACACCTACTTATTCAAGGGTTTTTCTTTATTTTTACTATTTTCTACATTGTAGAATAATAGTGAGGACATCAAAACTATGAAATAACACATACGGAATCATGTAGTAAACAAAAAAGTGTTAAACAAATCAAAATATATTTTAGATTTTTGATTCTTCAAAGTAGCCGCTCTTTGCCTTGACAGCTTTGCACACTCTTGGCATTCTGTCAACCAGCTTCACCTGGAATGCTTTTCCAACAGTCTTGAAGGAGTTCCCACATATGCTGAGCACTTGTTGGCTGCGTTTCCTTCAATCTCCAACTCATGTCAAACCATCTCAATTGGGTTGAGGTCGGGTGATTGTGGAAGCCAGGTCGTCTGATGCAGCACTCCATCACTCTCCTTCTTGATCAAATAGCCCTTACACAGCCTGGAGGTGTGTTGGGTCATTGTCCTGTTGAAAAACAAATGATAGTCCCACTAAGCCCAAACCAGATGGGATGGCGTATAGCTGCAGAATGCTGTGGTAGCCATGCTGGTTAAGTGTGCCTTGAATTCTAAATAAATCACAGACAGTGTCACCAGCAAAGCACCTCCACAACATCACACATCCTCCTCCATGCTTCACGGTGGGAACCACACATGCAGAGATCATCCGTTCACCTACTCTGCGTCTCACAAAGACACGGTGGTTGGAACCAAAAATCTCAAATTTGGACTCATCAGAGCAAAGGACAGATTTCCACTGGTCTAATGTCCATTGCTCGTGTTTCTTGGCCCAAGCAAGTCTCTTCTTCTTATGTGTCCTTTAGTAGTGGTTTCTTTGCAGCAATTTGACCATGAAGGCCTGATTCACGCAATCTCTTCTGAACAGTTGATGTTGAGATGTGTCTGTTACTTGAGCATTTATTTATTTTAGGTTACTACATGATTCCATATGTGTTATTTCATAGTTTTGATGTCTTCACTATTATTCTACAGTGTAGAAAATAGTAAAAATAAAGAAAAACCCTTGAATGAGTAGCTGTGTCCAGACTTTTGACTGGTACTGTGTGTGTATATATGGGCCTGCCGGTGTAACTGCTTGCTGTACACTGTACTGCATGATTGTAACGGGTTTACTAATGCGTTAGTTCTAGTAGCTATGTTGACTATGACGTCAGCTAATATGGTGACAACGATGTAGGCTGTGTGTAGTGGTTATGGTATGGGTGGCTACTTTGAAGAATCTCAAATATACAATACAGTAAAAAATAAAGAAAAACCCTGGAATGAGTAGGTGTCCAAACTTTTGACTGGTACTGTGTGTGTGTGTGTGTGTGTGTGTGTGTGTGTGTGTGTGTGTGTGTGTATATATGTATACAGTGGGGGAAAAAAGTATTTAGTCAGCCACCAATTGTGCAAGTTCTCCCACTTAAAAAGATGAGAGAGGCCTGTAATTTTCATCATAGGTACACGTCAACTATGACAGACAAAATGAGAATTTTTTTTCCAGAAAATCACTTTGTAGGATTTTTAATGAATTTATTTGCAAATTATGGTGGAAAATAAGTATTTGGTCAATAACAAAAGTTTCTCAATACTTTGTTATATACCCTTTGTTGGCAATGACAGTCTTCACAAGGTTTTCACACACTGTTGCTGGTATTTTGGCCCATTCCTCCATGCAGATCTCCTCTAGAGCAGTGATGTTTTGGGGCTGTTGCTGGGCAACACGGACTTTCAACTCCCTCCAAAGATTTTCTATGGGGTTGAGATCTGGAGACTAGCTAGGCCACTCCAGGACCTTGAAATGCTTCTTATAAAGCCACTCCTTCGTTGCCCGGGCGGTGTGTTTGGGATCATTGTCATGCTGAAAGACCCAGCCACGTTTCATCTTCAATGCCCTTGCTGATGGAATCTCACGATACATGGCCCCATTCATTCTTTCCTTTACACGGATCAGTCGTCCTGGTCCCTTTGCAGAAAAACAGCCCCAAAGCATGATGTTTCCACCCCCATGCTTCACAGTAGGTATGGTGTTCTTTGGATGCAAAGTTATATTTTGGTTTCATCTGACCATATGACATTCTCCCAATCCTCTTCTGGATCATCCAAATGCACTCTAGCAAACTTCAGACGGGCCTGGACATGTACTGGCTTAAGCAGGGGGACACGTCTGGCACTGCAGGATTTGAGTCCCTGGCGGCGTAGTGTGTTACTGATGGTAGGCTTTGTTACTTTGGTCCCAGCTCTCTGCAGGTCATTCACTAGGTCCCCCCGTGTGGTTCTGGGATTTTTGCTCACCGTTCTTGTGATCATTTTGACCCCACGGGGTGAGATCTTGCGTGGAGCCCCAGATCGAGGGAGATTATCAGTGGTCTTGTATGTCTTCCATTTCCTAATAATTGCTCCCACAGTTGATTTCTTCAAACCAAGCTGCTTACCTATTTCAGATTCAGTCTTCCCAGCCTGGTGCAGTTCTACAATTTTGTTTCTGGTGTCCTTTGACAGCTCTTTGGTCTTGGCCATAGTGGAGTTTGGAGTGTGACTGTTTGAGGTTGTGGACAGGTGTCTTTTATACTGATAACAAGTTCAAACAGGTGCCATTAATACAGGTAATGAGTGGAGGACAGAGGAGCCTCTTAAAGAAGAAGTTACAGGTCTGTGAGAGCCAGAAATCTTGCTTGTTTGTAGGTGACCAAATACTTATTTTCTACCATAATTTGCAAATAAATTCATAAAAAATCCTACAATGTGATTTTCTGGAGAAAAAAAATCTCAATTTGTCTGTCATAGTTGACGTGTACCTATGATGAAAATTACAGGCCTCTCTCATCTTTTTAAGTGGGAGAACTTGCACAATTGGTGGCTGACTAAATACTTTTTTCCCCCACTGTATGTGTGTGTGTGTATGTATGTATGTATGTATGTATGTATGTATGTATGTATGTACTTAGAGGAGGATGGAAACTAGCTGTCCTCCGGCTACACCATGGCGCTACCCCAGAGAGTGCTGTTGAGGCTACTGTAGACCTTCATTGCAAAACAGTGTGTTTGAATTAATTATTTGGTGACGTGTATAGTTTTATCTAAAAAGGATAACTTTTTTTAAATGTTTCACTATTTACATTTTTCTGAAATTCATTGAGGAGGATGGTCCTCTACTTCTTCGTCTGAGGCGCCTCCTCTGCCTGATACTCTCATGAGTCAAGGTTGACCCACCCCTTAGTCCACTCCTTTCCTCCACAACACCAACAATTACAAACTTGAGTGATACCCTCTACTTGTGTGTTCCACAGAGAAGTATATTGTTTAATGGTAGTTGCCGAGTTTTAACAGGCAGTCTTTGTAAATCAAAATGTGCTCTTAACATAAAATAAAAGTGAGTGTGCCCAGCTTTCGTCAACAGATTGTGTATAATGGTAAATAAAAATGATTTGAAATTCCAGTAAAGTAGTGAATAAAAAAATCCTCATAGGAAACAATATGGAGTTTTCTAATTATGAGTTTCATTTTGATTCACTTTCTACATTGACTGAATTGAAAACGGAATGGGCCTAAACCCTGTTCAGTGTATATACCCCTTGGTGATCTCTCTCTCTCATCACACATCTCTCCCTCGATCCTCCTCCATCAGGAGTGGGTGGGCGAGCGCTGTCTTAAGTCCCTGTCGGAGGACAGCAGTGCCCTGCAGGACCCGGTGCTGGTCAACATCCAGGCCCAGCGGCTGCTGCAGCTCATCTGCTACCCCCACCGCCAGCTGGACAGTGAGGAGGGGGACAACCCCCAGAGGCAGCGCATCAAACGCATCCTCCAGGTCAGCCCACACAAGCCCCCAGCACTGACAACAGGGCCGCGTTGTGGAATATTCAGATGAACAAAATATTATGTAGAACAAACATGCCTTTCTATAATGTAGAATAAGGAATCACGCCCTGACAACGGACAGCACTTCTCATGAGCAGAGTATACTTTTTTTCACTTTTCCCTCAAGGGCAGCAGATGTATGACCTAAAACCTTTTTCTGGAAATTGCTTTCAAATGGTTTCTTTGAAGCCATCGAGGCCAGTTGTAAGTGAATCAGTGTTAGCCCTAGATGATCTTTGGGGATGGCAGAGCGAGCACAGCAGACGGCACATCCATTAGAAATGGGGGGTTGTGGGTGCTAGAATTAATCAGTTGGTGAACTTTCTCTGAACCCCTGCCATAGCTCAGCGGACCACATTAGGGTATATGAGTGTTCTGAGTTTTCTGAATGGCATTACTGCCATCTGCTGACTAAAGCAGAGCTACAGGGAGCGTGGTAAACTATGATGCTAAGTCTCTCTGTGACAACTGCTTGGGGATTGTTGTGATATATACAACTGTCTAAAAGTTGTGTCCCATCCTCCCGGCTCTAGAACATGGACCAGTGGACCATGAGACAGTCGTCCCTGGAGCTGCAGCTCATGATCAAGCAGAGTACTAACAACGTAAGTAACCAGACTCCAGTGTCCTGTAAGGCCCTCAAAACACTGACAACACTGCCATCTAGTCAAAATTAAGCATGATATGACCTTTACATTTTAGTCATTTAGTTAACGCTCTTATCCAGAGCGACTTACAAGAGCAATTAGGGTTAAGTGCTTGCTCAAGTGCACATCAACAGATTTTTCGAACCAGCGACCTTTCGGTTACTGGCCCAACGCTCTTAACTGCTAGGCGGTCTGCCGCCCAATGATATTGCTCAAAATATAGATTTTGAATACAATTCATCTGTAAAGTTCACAAGTGTGCCTCTGGTTCAATTGAGTGCATAGCGATATAGAATGAAAGTGGCTTGTGTCAAAACCCTTCATAACTGTAGAATGTGCTAGTAATGGCAGCCATCTTGGTCAGGGATAGATTCCCTGTCATTGAGTGTAAGTGGATGAACTCGTCTTCCTTGTCTCCCTGCAGGAGCTGTACTCCCTATTGGAGAACATCGCCAAGGTCACCATAGAGGTGTTCCAGAAGTCAGCGGAGATGAACTCCAGCAACCCCTCAGGAAACGGCTCGGCCGGCGCGGGAGGCTCCGCCTCCAACAGCAACAACACTAGCAAGACGAAACCAGTGTTGAGGTGTGTGTGACCTTTATAAATTCTCCCTCCCATTTTAAAAATATGTAGGAATATTGAGTTCACTGAGAAATCACATGGTAAAATGGTTATTTGCTATATAATTATTTGATTATAGCTTTTCTGTGAGATACATTGAAACGAGCATTTCTTTTAATATTTTGTTTTTTAATCATAGGTACTAGCAATTGTCAAATTTCAACCAGATAATATCAGTTTTCACATAATCTCTTTTGGTAAAACCATTTGAGTTAGCTAAAGCAGTGTTTCCCAACTCAGGTCCTCGTTTGTTGTAGCCCTGGACAAAAACACCTGATTCAACTTATTTGACAAGTAGAATCAGGTGTGCTTGTCCGGGGCCACAACAAAAATATGTATTGTTGGGGATACTCGAGGATCATCAAACATGCTTTCTCATTGTTGTTGATATCTAACCTTAGTGTAACATCTCATTATTTTTGTTTGTGTACCTCCCCAGTTCGTCAGAGCGGTCAGGTGTGTGGCTGGTGGCGCCACTGATAGCCAAGCTGCCCACCTCAGTCCAGGGCCACGTCCTGAAGGCGGCAGGGGAGGAGCTGGAGAAGGGCCAGCATCTGGGATCCTCCTCACGCAAGGAGAGGGACCGGCAGAAACAGAAAAGGTCAGACAACTCACCCCTGAGGAACCCCTTTTTTGTAATGGTCCCAACAGATATACAGTATAGATCAATAAACACACAGCTCAGGACTGGCCCCCTCTTTCAGAAAAGTTTGTTTTAGTGGGTGTCAAAAACAGGGGCTTTATGAGGTGCTATTTTGGGTTATGTAAATAATGCTCATTTTATCAACATGGTTGTACTCTCATCCAGAAACATAATACTCTGCTCTATTATTATAATTTTTTTGCCCCAGCTTTCATATTTCCAAATTCATAGTGGATGTATTGCCTTTACACATTTGTCTGTTTCCAGCATGTCTCTGCTGAGCCAGCAGCCCTTCCTATCTCTGGTGCTGACCTGTCTAAAAGGCCAGGATGAACAGAGGGAGGGCCTCCTCACCTCCCTCTACAGCCAGGTGCAGCAGGTAAGACCCAACACAGCCTCTCCCCCATCTTCCTATCCCACCTCACCCCCTCTATTAGGCCCAAATCCCAACTTGAGATCTGTGTGCATAACGGTTTCATTGACATCAATTTACACAAAAGTCCAAGTGTGTGCATCTCAAGTGAGGATTCCGTCCTCCGTGTGCTCACTGTTGGCAAAATCTGCCATCTCATGCTGACTGATGCAATTGGCTGCATTTCCATCTTCCAGATTGTAACGAACTGGCGGGAGGACCAGTACCAGGATGACTGCAAGGCTAAGCAGATGATGCACGAGGCACTGAAGCTGCGGCTCAATCTGGTGAGGTTTCTTCGTCACCACTACGATCATCATCATTATCATAGTCATGTGATATCCCTGTCATGCCTGAAAGTGGTAAATTGTCCAATATCAGATAAGGCCAGACGGAATCTAAGGGGACAGAAAGTACCTCTGGAAACAAATCAAACCCAGTTAGTTACTGCTACAGAACACTGATGTTTTGTCCATTTAAAAGTACAAAGAGATGTAGAGGTCGAAAATGTATTAAGAAAAACTACATGCAAATTCTCTCTGGCCCTTGATAAGAGTGTCATGAATGTTTCTGAATTGCATACTAATGCCCTGTTAACATCATGATGTATTTCATTACGCCGTACGTCACCTTCATGGACGGAGAGCATAGGATAGGGTTTCACAACGCAAGATAAGATGGAATAGAGTCTCTCGTCAGAGATGGCATTTATTTTGGGAGATTGCAAAATATGACATTTTCATTCAAGACAGGAGAAGCATGCTGTTTCAGTTGATAATAAAACATGTCTTGTTAGTAATTTTTTCCTCAACTTGTTTCTATAATCGTTTTAGCAAGTCAAGCTAGCTTGCACTGTAAAGCGTCAAGCTAGCTTGCACTGTAAAGCGTCAAGCTAGCTTGCACTGTAAAGCGTCAAGCTAGCTTGCACTGTAACAGCCAACGTAGTACTCACTTATAGGAATGGGTAATTGTTTACAAGTTGCTAGCTATCCCGTAAAGCCATCACCACATATTTTCATCTTCTGCGGTTTGGTAACTTCCCGTCCTTCGACGGACTCTGGCTGGACTGAAGACGACGCAAAGTTTGGAAAATTTAAAAGTATGCGGCATCCTTCTCACAAGCCTTCAATCGCAAGGGGGCGTTACGATTCCACTCCGTTGTGGACGTCCCCATTGAAATGCATGACATCTGGCGCAACGTAACGGAGTGCTTATGGGTAATGTGAACGAGGCTTAAGATGAAATTGGATGTCTTATCTTTGCTCTCCAGGTAGGTGGGATGTTTGACACGGTACAACGCAGCACACAGCAGACCACCGAGTGGGCTGTGCTACTCCTCGACATCATCAGCAGCGGTACAGTGGACATGCAGTCCAACAAGTAAGTCCCAACACACCTGCTCACACATTTTAAACTTCATCAGCTTTACTTCATGTGTTCATTTGTTGTTAAGATGGTAATGTCAACATGTAAAGTATCTGTAAAGTACCTGACGTGTGTGTGATTTCTCTTCTCCCTCTGTCCGTCTCTCTCGCTCTCTTCCTTTTTTTTCTCTCAGTGAGCTCTTCACTACGGTTCTGGACATGCTGAGTGTGCTGATTAACGGCACGCTGGCTGCTGACATGTCCAGCATCTCTCAGGGCAGCATGGAGGAGAACAAGAGGGCTTACATGAACCTGGTCAAGAAGCTCCGGGTAAGATCACACACATCACACTGGATGTACACTGAGTGTAGAAAACATTAGGTTCACCTGCTCTTTCCATGACAGACTGACCAAGTGAATCCATGTGAAAGCTATGATCCCTTATTGATGTCACTTGTTAAACCCACTTCAATCAGTGTAGATGAAGGGGAGGAGACAGGTTAAAGAAGGATTTTTAAGCATTGAGACAATTGAGACATGGATTGTGTATGTGTGCCATTCAGAGGGTGAATGGGCAATACAAAATATTTAAGTGCTTTTGAACGGGGTATGGTAGTAAGTGCCAGGCGCACCGGTTTGAGTGTGTCAAGAACTGCAACATTGCTGGGTTTTTCACGCTCAACAATGTGTATCAAGAATGGTCCACCAGCCAACTTGACACAACTGTGGGAAGCATTGGAGTCAACATGGGCTTTCGACACCTTGTAGAGTCCATGCCCCGACGAATTGAGGCTGTTCTGAGGGCAAAAGGGTATGCAACTCAATATTAGGAAGGTGTTCTTAATGTTTTGTACTCTCCGTGTATATGTGGAATATATAATAATATATGTCCTATGTAGCAGAGTATTCCGTTATTATTGTATTTTATTTATGTATTTAAGTCAATGGAGAGGAAGTTCAGGAGAAAAAACAAAACAAAATATAACTATTGTAAAATTGACTGTGTCCATAAAATGTGTATAGTATGTATAAGCTGGAAGTAGAGGCCTAAGCGTTGTTGTTCACTAGTTTACGCCAATTAGGGGATGGGTGGTGGGGTTGGAAAGTAAAAGGAAAATACAGTGCCTTGCAAAAATATTAATCCACTTGGCGTTTTTCCTATTTTGTTGCATTACAAGCTGTAATTTAAATGGATTTTTATTTGGATTTCATGTAATGGACATACACGAAATGGTCCAAATTGGTGAAGTGGAATGAAAAAAATTACTTGTTTCCAAAAAAATTCTCAAAGATAAATAATGGAAAAGTGGTGCGTACATATGTATTCACTCCCTTTGCTATGAAGCCCCTAAATAAGATCTGGTGCAACCAATTACCTTCAGAAGTCACATAATTAGTTAGATTGCACACAGGTGGACTTTATTTAAGTGTCACATGATCTCAGTATTATATACACCTGTTCTGAAAGGCCCCAGAGTCTGCAACACCACTAGGCAAAGGGCACCACCAAGCAAGCGGCACCATGAAGACCAAGGAGCTCTCCAAACAGGTCAGGGACAAAGTTGTGGAGTAGTACAGATCAGGGTTGAGTTATAAAAAAATATCAGAAACTTTGAACATCCCACGGAGCACCATTAAATCCATTAATTTTTTTTAATGGAAAGAATATGGCACTACCACAAACCTGCCAAGAGAGGGCCGCCCACCAAAAGTCACGGACCAGGCACGGAGGGCATTATTGAGGCAACAAAGAGACCAAAGATAACCCTGAAGGAGCTGGAAAGCTCCACAGCGGAGATTGGAGTATCTGTCCATAGGACCACTTGAAGCCGTACACTCCACAGAGCTGGGCTTTACGGAAGAGTGGCCAGAAAAAAGCCATTGCTTAAAGAAAAAAATAAGCAAACACATTTGGTGTTTGCCAAAAGGCATGTGGGAGACTCCCCATATGGAAGAATGGTACTCTGGTCAGATGAGACTAACATTAAGCTTTTTGGCCATCAAGGAAAATGCTATGTCCGGCGCAAACCCAACACCTCTCATCACCCCGAGAACACCATCCCCATAGTGAAGCATGGTGGTGGCAGCATCATGCTGTGGGGATGTTTTTCATCGGCAGGGACTGGGAAACTGGTCAGAATTGAAGGAATGATGGATGGCGCTGAATACAGGGAAATTCTTAAGGGAAACCTGTTTCAGTCTTCCAGAGATTTGAGACTGGGACGGAGGTTCACCTTCCAGCAAGACAATGACCCTAAGCATACTGCTAAAGCAACACTCGAGTGGTTTAAGGGGAAACATTTAAATGTATTGGAATGGCCTAGTCAAAGCCCAGACCTCAATCCAATTGAGAATCTGTGGTATGACTTAAAGATTGCTGTACACCAGCGGAACCCATCCAACTTGAAGGAGCTGGAGCAGTTTTGCCTTGAAGAATAGGAAGAAATCCCAGTGGCTAGATGTGCCAAGCTTATAGTGGGAAGCTTGTGGAAGGCTACCCAAAGCGTTTGACCCAAGTTAAACAATTTAAAGGCAATGCTACCAAATACTAATTGAGTGTATGTAAACTTCTGACCAACTGGGAATGTGCTGAAAGAAATAAAAGCTGAAATAAATCATTCTCTCTACTATTATTGTGACATTTCACATTCTTAAAATAAAGTGGTGATCCTAACTGACCTAAGACAGGGAATTGTTACTAGGATTAAATGTCAGGAATTGTGAAAAACTGAGTTTAAATGTATTTGGCTAAGGTGTATGTAAACTTCCGCCTTCAACTGTGTACATACACTGCTCAAAAAAATAAAGGGAACACTAAAATAACACATCCTAGATCTGAATGAATGAAATAATCTTATTAAATACTTTTTTCTTTACATAGTTGAATGTGCTGACAACAAAATCACACAAAAATGATCAATGGAAATCAAATGTATCAACCCATGGAGGTCTGGATTTGGAGTCACCCTCAAAATTAAAGTGGAAAACCACATTACAGGCTGATCCAACTTTGATGTAATGTCCTTAAAACAAGTCAAAATGAGGCTCAGTAGTGTGTGTGGCCTCCACGTGCCTGTATGACCTCCCTCCAACGCCTGGGCATGCTCCTGATGAAGTGGTGGATGGTCTCCTGAGGGATCTCCTCCCAGACCTGGACTATAGCATCCGCCAACTCCTGGACAGTCTGTGGTGCAACGTGGCGTTGGTGGATGGAGCGAGACATGATGTCCCAGATGTGCTCAATTGGATTCAGGTCTGGGGAACGGGCGGGCCAGTCCATAGCATCAATGCCTTCCTCTTGCAGGAACTGCTGACACACTCCAGCCACATGAGGTCTAGCATTGTCTTGCATTAGGAGGAACCCAGGGCCAACCGCACCAGCATATGGTCTCACAAGGGGTCTGAGGATCTCATCTCGGTACCTAATGGCAGTCAGGCTACCTCTGGCGAGCACATGGAGGGCTGTGCGGCCCCCCAAAGAAATGCCACCCCACACCATGACTGACCCACCGCCAAACCGGTCATGCTGGAGGATGTTGCAGGCAGCAGAACGTTCTCCACGGCGTCTCCAGACTCTGTCACGTCTGTCACATGCTCAGTGTGAACCTGCTTTCATCTGTGAAGAGCACAGGGCGCCAGTGGTGAATTTGCCAATCTTGGTGTTCTCTGGCAAATGCCAAACATCCTGCACGGTGTTGGGCTGTAAGCACAACCCCCACCTGTGGACGTCGGGCCCTCATACCACCCTCATGGAGTCTGTTTCTGACCGTTTGAGCAGACACATGCACATTTGTGCCTGCTGGGGGTCATTTTGCAGGGCTCTGGCAGTGCTCCTCCTTGCTCAATGGCGGAGGTAGCAGTCCTGCTGCTGGGTTGTTGCCCATCCTACGGCCTCCTCCACGTCTCCTGATGTACTGGCCTGTCTCCTGGTAGCGCCTCCATGCTTTGGACACTACGCTGACAGACACAGCAAACCTTCTTGCCACAGCTCGCATTGATGTGCCATCCTGGATGAGCAGCACTACCTGAGCCACTTGTGTGGGTTGTAGACTCCGTCTCATGCTACCACTAGAGTGAAAGCACCGCCAGCATTCAAAAGTGACCAAAACATCAGCCAGGAAGCATAGGAACTGAGAAGTGGTCTGTGGTCACCAACTTCAAAACCAGTCCTTTATTGGGGGTGTCTTGCTAATTGCCTATAATTTCCACATGTTGTCTATTCCATTTGCACAACAGCATGTGAAATGTATTGTCAATCAGTGTTGCTTCCTAAGTGGACAGTTTGAATTCACAGAAGTGTGATTGACTTGGAGTTACATTGTGTTGTTTAAGTGTTCCCTTTATTTTTTTGAGCTGTGTGTGTGTGTGTATATATATATATATGTGTGTGTGTGTGTGTGTGTGTGTGTTACTTATTTTTTTATATATATATATATATATATATATATATATATATATATATATATATATATATATATATATATATATATATATGGGATTGGAAGTGATGCAGACAATTACATTGATGGAAGTTAGTCTATCTGCAATATTAAAGCTGATCTACCCCCCCCAAAAAAAGGCAATGGAAAGGTGTTATGCTCGGTGTTTGCCACAAGAGGTCCCCTCTCGCCTAGAATTCAGTTAGAGTCGAGCAACTGTCAAACAGACACTAGGAAGTATCTCAATTCAATACTATTTGTATCTTTATTTCAAGGTGTTTGGCTCGTTCTCTACTCCGAAAGGTGTCAATAACTCTACTGTTGTGGTGTGTATTTGCAGAAAGAGCTGGGCGACCGGCAGTCGGAGAGCCTGGAGAAGGTGCGGCAGCTGCTCCCTCTGCCCAAGCAGACCCGTGACGTCATCACGTGTGAACCTCAGGGTTCGCTCATCGACACCAAGGGCAACAAGATTGCCGGCTTTGAAAAGGAGGTGAGTACTATGAGCTTTTACCCTTGGAATTGTTGAATGTATTACTGTTTCTCTGTCACAAAGATATTGACTATTTCTAGCCCACATGGTTCTTCATAAACTCTTGTCTTTCAGCTGTTCACTAGGAATGGCTTCAATAACTTCCATAAATAGCAGACCTGGGTTCAAATACTATGTTTATTTCAAATACTTGATTGAGCTTGCCTGGCGTAATGAAACCAATTAAATAGTCCCAAATCTGTAAACCATGCCCATATGGTACTCCAGGCCCCTTCAAATGGTCAAAGTTTATTAGGGAAAACAAATAGTATTTGAACCCAGGTCTGCTAAATACTTATGCATTTAGACCTCTTAATTGTCAGGATCAATTTGGGGCAACACCAGTCTCCAATAATTGTGATCTATACCTATATAAAACCACCTCTCTCTCCTTTTCCATCAGGGCCTCCAGGTGTCGACCAAGCAGAAGATCTCTCCGTGGGACGTGTTCGAGGGCCTCAAGCACTCGGCCCCTCTCTCCTGGGGCTGGTTCGGGACGGTGCGCGTGGACCGTAAGGTCACCAAGTTCGAGGAGCAGCAGCGCTTCCTCCTCTACCACACCCACCTGAAGCCCAAGCCACGCAGCTACTACCTGGAGCCCCTCCCCCTGCCCCCTGAGGAGGAGGAGCCGCCCACGCCCGTGCCCCAGGAGCACGAGAAGAAGATTGGTGGAGGCGGTGAAGCCGGAGAAGAGCGTCCCTGCAGTGTCATCCGACTCAACCAAGAAAAAGACCAAGAAGAAGAAGACTCCGTCCACCAGCAAAACTGAGGTGAGGGAGACACACTGGGACAGGTCCTGTCCAGCAAAGCTGAGGTGAGGGAGACACACTGGGACAGGTGCTGTCCAGGAACAACTACTAGCTAGGCCCTATTAGGGCTGTGGCGGTCACAAAATGTAGTCAGCATTGTGATTGTCAAGCAAATAACTGTCGGTCTCACGGTAATTGACCATTAATTAACAAACACATTTAGCATCTCCTGGCTTCCACACATAGCCTACAAGCCACTGATGCAGACCTTTGGAACATCTACATTAGAAAAAATTCTAGTAAATCCATGTAATATAGCCTACACCTTCACAATAAATCCATTATTTCTTTTAGACGGGTCTAAAGAAACATGATATGAAGAAAATGTACTCTATTTCAGAACAACAGAATAGCATACTCTGAGTTGTCCTTATGTTAGGTCGTGATCTGGCTATGCCAAATGGCTGTGGGCTACACTAGTTAATTTAGCAGACAAGATTTGCTTAGAATTCCATGGCATTATTTTATATTATTTTATAGTATGAAGAATACAATTGAACAAAGCTGAATAAAATAGAAAGGATATTTTCTCCAAATGATTTGAGGGAGTGCGCACATGCGGCTATTCTGTGTTGAGCGGTTAACAAAGAAATAGGTATTCCTATATGCTTAATTTAGAGTTATTAATGTAACTGTAGTTGTTCTACAAACGTTGGCCTATATGTTTAGATTTTTAGTGCCTTCGGGAAGTATTCAGACCCCTTGACTTTTTCCACATTCTGTTACGTTACAGCCTTATTCTGAAATTAATTAAATAAATAAAAATCCTCAGCAATCTACAAACAACAATATCCCATAATGACAAAGCGAAAACAGGTTTTTAGACATTTTTGCAAATCTATAAAAATAACATACCTTATTTACATAAGTATTCAGCCCCTTTGCAATGAGACTCCAAATTGAGCTCAGGTGCATACTGTTTCCATTGATCATCCTTGATGTTTCTACAACTTGATTGGAGTCCACCTGTGGTAAATTCAATTGATTGGACATTATCTGGAAAGGCACACAGCTGTCTATAAGGTCCCACGGTTGACAGTGCATAGCACAAAAGCCAAGCCATGAGGTTGAAGGAATTGTCTGTAGAGCTCCGAGACTGGATTGTGTCGAGGCACAGATCTGGGGAAGGGTACCAAAAAATGTCTGTAGCATTGAAGGTCCCCAAGAACACAGTGGCCTCCCTCATTCTTAAATGGAAGATGTTTGGAACCACCAAGACTCTTCCTAGAGCTGGCCACCCGGCCAAACTGAGCAATCATGGGAGAAGGACTTTGGTCATGGGAGGTGACCAAGAACCTGATGGTCACTCTGACAGAGCTCTAGAGTTCCTCTGTGGAGATGGGAGAACCTTCCAAAAGAACAAACATCTCTGCAGCACTCCACCAATCAGGCCTTTATGGTAGAGTGGCCAGACGGAAGCATCTCCTCAGTAAAAGGCACATGACAGCCCGCTTGGGAGTTTGCCAAAAGGTACCTAAAGATCTCAGACCATGAGAAACAAGATTCTCTGGTCTGATGAAACCACGATTGAACTCTTTGGCCTGAATGCCAAGCGTCACGTCTGGAGGAAACCTGGCACAATCCCTACGGTGAAGCATGGTGGTGGCAGCATCATGCTGTGGGGATGTTTTTCAGTGGCAGAGACTATGAGACTAGTCAGGATCGAGGCAAAGATTAACGGAGCAGAGTACATAGAGATCCTTGATGAAAACCTGCTCAGGACCTCAGACTGGTGCAAAGGTTCACCTTCCAACAGGACAACGACCCTAAGCACACAGCCAAGACAACTCGGGAGTGGCTTCGGGACAAGTCTCTGAATGTCCTTGAGTGTCCCAGCCAGAGCCTGGACTTGAACCCGATCTAAAATCTCTGGAGAGACCTGAAAATAGCTGTGCAGCGACGCTCCCCATCCAACCTGACAGAGCTTGAGAGGATCTTCAGAGAAGAATGGGAGAAACTCCCCAAATACAGGTGTGCCAAGCTTGTAGCATGTTACCCAAGAAGAATCAATGCTGTAATCGCTGTCAAAGGTGCTTCAACAAAGTACTGTGTAAAGAGTCTGAATATTTGTGTAAATGTGACATTTCTAAAAAGCTGTTTTTGCTTTGTCATTATGGGGTATTGTGTTTAGATTGATAAGGGGAAAAAAGCAATGTAATACATTTTTGAATGGGTGTAACGTAACAAAATGTCGAAAAAGTCAAGGGGTCTGAATACCTTCCGAAGGCACTATGTGTGAAATACCTGTCTCGAAGCAGGGGGGAAAATACATTTCATCCAGCAAATGGAGACATTTCCCGTGGTTCATTTTCATGCCAGCCAGGTAGGCTATACTCATTTTTTACATTTGAGTCATTTAGCAGACGCTCTTATCCAGAGCGACTTACAGTTAGTGAGTGCATACATTTTTCATACTCCTGTTGTAAAGATAAGCAATGTGCTTAGTATTAGAACATTTGAGAAGTAATTATAAACTCTGCAAAAAAGAAACGTCCCTTTTACAGGACCTTGTCTTTCAAAGATAATTCGTAAACAATTAATGAACATGCATCTGTGGAAATGTCGTTAAGACACTAACAGCTTACAGACGGTAGGCAATTAAGGTCACAGTTATGAAAACTTAGGACAATAAAGAGGCCTTTCTACTGACTCTGGAAAAACACCAAAAGAAAGATGCCCAGGGTCCCTGCTCATCTGCGTGAACGTGCCTTAGGCATGCTGCAAGGAAGCATGAGGACTGCAGATGTGGCCAGGGCAATAGATTGCAATGTCCGTACTGTGAGACGCCTAAGACAGCCCTACAGCGAGACAGGGCGGACAGCTGATCGTCCTTGCAGTGGCAGACCACGTGTAACAACACCTGCACAGGATCGGTACATCCGAACATCACACCTGCGGGACAGGTACAGGATGGCAACAACAACTGCCCGAGTTACACCAGGAACGCACAATCCCTCCATCAGTGCTCAGACTGTCCGCAATATGCTGAGAGAGGCTGGACTGAGGGCTTGTAGGCCTGTTGTAAGGCAGGTCCTCACCAGACATCACTGGCAACAACGTCGCCTATGGGCACAAACCCACCGTCGCTGGACCTGACAGGACTGGCAAAAAGTGCTCTTCACTGACTAGTCGCGGTTTTGTCTCACCAGGGGTGATGGTCGGATTAGCGTTTATTGTTGAAGGAATGAGCATTACACCAAGGCCTGTACTCTGGAGCGGGATCGATTTGGAGGTGGAGGGTCCTTCATGGTCTGGGGCGGTGTGTCACAGCATCATCGGACTGAGCTTGTTGTCATTGCAGGCAATCTCAACGCTGTGCGTTACAGGGAAGACATCTTCCTCCCTCATGTGGTACCCTTCCTGCAGACTCATCCTGACATGACACTCCAGCATGACAATGCCACCAGCCATACTGCTCGTTCTGTGTTCTGCCATGGCCAGCGAAGAGCCCGGATCTCCATCCCATTGAGCACATCTGGGACCTATTGGATCGGAGGGTGAGGGCTAGGGCCATTCCCCCCAGAAATGTCCAGGAACTTGCAGGTGCCTTGGTGGAAGAGTGGGGTAACATCTCACAGCAAGAACTGGCAAATATGGTGCAGTCCATGAGGAGGAGATGCACTGCAGTACTTAATGCAGCTGGTGGCCACACCAGATACTGACTGTTACTTTTTATTCTGACCCCCCCTTTGTTCGTGGACACATTATTCAATTTATGTTAGTCACATGTCTGTGGAACATGTTCAGTTTATGTCTCAGTTGTTGAATCTTATGTTCATACAAATATTTACATGTTAAGTGTGCTGAAAATAAACGCAGTTGACAGTGAGAGGATGTTTCTTTTTTTGCTGAGTTTAGTAGGCCAAGCCTATAGAAAGCTAATGGGATCCACCACTTTTTAATAGAGGCCATCACTCTGTTTTCTCGGGCAATTGCATAGCCTATAGGGTCCCCGAGTGGCGCAGTGGTCTAAGGCACTGCAGCGCAGTGCTAGCTGTGCCACTAGAGATCCTGGTTCGAATCCAGGATCTCTAGCGACCGGGAGACCCATGGGGCGGCGCACAATTGGCCCAGCGTCGTCCAGGGTAGGGGAGGGAATGGCCGGCAGGGGTGTAGCTCAGTTGGTAGAGCATGGCGTTTGCAACGCCAGGGTTGTGGGTTTGATTCCCATGGGGGGCCAGTATAAAAAATAAATAATGTATGCACTCACTAACTGTAAGTCGCTCTGGATAAGAGCGTCTGCTAAATGACTAAAATGTAAATGTATAGAAATGTTGCGCAACATGAGCTCATGGGCTCTCATTAAGTGTTTGATTCGATTTTCAAATACATTTGCATTGATGTCAGCGTGATTAGAGGGACAATAGAGTGCTGAGTAGCAGCCAGTTAGCATGTTTGGTAGGCTACTAATGACCATCAGCAGCATCAGAGCTTAATCAAGCCTAATTACCGTGACTAAGCGGTCATGTGGAATTTGACTGCCTTCATGACTCGTGACCACCGGTGTGGTGGTAATACGTTCACAGTAACAGCCCTAGGCCCTATACCCTAGGCATTTGTGCAGACCTGAAAGAACTGGATAGGTATCAAGAATGTGGCAAACATTCCACCTAGCCTATCAGAAGGCAAGACTGCGTTACAACCATATTGCCTATACCTGTCCAATCCCTTCAGATCTAGGGGAGAGGTCTTTTTGGATTAGGCTAGTTATGGTAGAAATAGTACTCATAGATTTATGGACTCTGAAATCACTGAGCACTCATGAGTGTCATCTTGAAGAGGGATTTGAAGGACAACAATGTATGCCTTGTGTAATAATATGCATTCTAAAAGTGCAAAAGCTGGATGATATTGTGGTTGCACATATTACTATTATACAGTATATGTGTAGTATGTCTCATAGAAGGTGTTTGTCCTCTCTCTCCAGGACTATGTGACCCGTTCCCAGGGTGGAGTGTCGTATGGGACGGGTTTGCCCCCAGAGATCCTCATGGGCCAGCAGACTCACCCCTACAGCAGGTTAGGCTACAGCCAGCAGCCCATGGGCATGTACGCACAGAACCAGCCTCTGCCTCCAGGTCAGTGCCAACATTATCATTGTCTAAGACCAGGGTTCTGATTTTAGGATCAGTTCTGCCTTTTAGATCGTAATGAAAACAGTTACATGGACGGGGGTGGGGGGGACCTGATCCTAGGCCAGCACTCCTACTCTGATATTGATGAATATAGGCCCTGTTTTAGTTATTACTAGTTCGTTTTTTACATTACTATCATGGAAAAACACTGGAACCTGTATTCCTCTCATGACTGTTTAAGTGTGGCGTGTTTAGCTTGTGGTCATCACCAACCCTGGTCAATCGACACCATGTTTTGTTACAGCCCAGCACTAAACACCCGATTCCGCTTATCAACCTAAATCTTCAAGACCTTGATTAGCTGAAACAGACTTTAATGCTGGAGTGGAACAAAACCCGGCAACCCCGTAGCTCCCCCCAAGACTGTTGAAGCTTTTTGTAATTTTGACTTAAATTCTCATCCTTTTCCCCTTCAGGGGGCCCTGGTTTGGACACCCCGTACCGACCAGCCCGGAACCCTCAGATGGGCAAGATGATGCCCACGCGGCCCAACTACCCGGGCATGATGCAGGGTGGCATGCCAGGCATGATGGGCATGGAAAAGCAGTATCCGATGGGCTACAAGCCCCAGCCCAACATACCGCAGGGCCAGATCCTGCGCCAGCATCTACAGGTCAGACTGGTGAGTCTGCAGTGACTAGACTCCATTGGAAGGGGACAGTAGTGAGTACAGATGCTATTCTGGACTGGACCTACCTCAGTGAGTCGTTGAGGGGTTTGCTAGATATGTTATTAACATACTACATACATACAATAGACCTTGAACCTGGATTTCACTACGCATGCCATGTTGATAAATTTGAGTTGGAAAGGAAAGGGGGATACCTAGTCATTTGCACAACTGAATGCATTCAACCGAAATGTGTCTTCCGCATTTAACCCAACCCCTCTGAATCAGAGAGGTGCGAGGGGCTGCCTTAATCGACATCCACGTCATCGGCGCCCGGGGAGAAGTTGTTGTTGGGGGTTAACTGCCTTGCTCAAGGGCAGAACGGCAGATGTTTCCACCTTGCCAGCTCGGGGATCTGAACCAGCCCAGCGACCTTTCGGTTACTGGCCCAACACTCTTAACCGTTAAGCTCCCTGCCGCCCGTGAAAATTAAAAAAAGTTTAACTTCAGTTGTAGAAAGTAGCACATTGCTTTTTAAGAACGTTGGAGGATGACCGTTGTCTCTTGTCGTTTTCAGAACCAGAGTATGATTGGACAACAGATGCGACAGATGACGCCCAACCAACAATACAGCTCCATGCAGCAAACTCAGGCAAGTCTTTCAGATGAGACACTTTCGCCAAAATGCCATGTAATTTCTTTCCAGATGTATCTGTAAAACCAGTTTTGTTATACTTCTATTTCCTCCACCACTGAAATTGACCCCATGCATAAACTAGTGTCCTCTATTCCTGATATTCAATATTCTACCCATCTCCCTGCCTATTTGTCCTATTATTTTCATTAACATTCTGATTTCTCTCTCCATGTACAGAACATCTCCCCGGGCTATACCACGTACGGCTCCCACATGGGGATGCAGCCGCACCCCTCCCAGGCGGGTGGTGTAGTCCCTCCGTCGTACGGGAACCAGGGTTTCCAGGGCAGCCACCCGGGGGCCAACCCGGCCGTGGTGGACTCCCTGAGGCAGATGGGCCAGAGGCCCAGCGGCTACGTTCACCAGCAGGCACCGGGCTACTCGCACACCATGCAAAACACACAGAGGTGGGCAGGAGGGAAGTCTACTGTCCATTATCAAGGATATTTTGGCTGCTTTTGGCTCATATTGTGTAGGGCTGTGACGATACCAGTATCGCAATATGAAAACACGAAGCAGAGCAAACTCTTTGGTCCTGGGGCGGCAGGTAGCGTAGCGGTTAAGTGTAGGGCCAGTAACCGAAAGGTTACTGGTTCGAATCCCTGAGCCGACTAGGGTGAAAAATCTATCAGTGCCCTTGAGCAAAGCACTTAACCATAATTGCTCCTGTAAGTCGCTCTGGATAAGAGCGTCGGCTAAATGACTAAAATGACAATATAAAAACCAGCTCTATGTAAAATATTGTGTGCTATAGCTTGGAAAATGAATAAATGTGACTCTGGAAGACAACATAATGATTTTTGTTTCCAACATTAGGGCTGTTTTCATAAAGAAGTTAAATCCGTTTCGTGTTTTGTTTCCTTGCCACGATACTAACAAGTATCACGATACTGGTATCATCCCTCCCCTAATATTGTGTTCATGGAGTGCCTTTTTTCACTCCTTTTTCTTGCACATATCAAGGCTTTATGTCACATTTAGCATCACTGCCTAGTATCTGGAGACAGCGTTATCCCACCCCATGAACTGCACTCTGATTTTCTTTGACGTGAATGCAAATATTTGACAGTGCAGTCACAGAACCCTTTTTTGTTTCATGCTGTAGTAATGAGCAACAGTGACCTTATTCAAGAAAAAGTGGTGTATTTGTGAAACAATGATGATGTACTGATCCTCTGAACGTGTCTCTCTTCCACCATCTCCAGGTTTCCCCACCAGTCCATCCATCAGGCTCCCGTCATGCAGGGCCTGAGCCACATGGGAGCGCAGGGGGTCCACCCGGGCATGAGACCAAACCAGATGCTGGCCGAGCAGCAACAAGCACAGCAGCAGTACCTCAGACAGCAGGCACTCAGAGTATGCTTTGTCTATTTACTAGGTCTTCTACTAGCAATATCTAACACTACAGACCAACATGGAACAGTGGATTGATTCTATTTTAACTACACATGTACTGCTATTGCCACTCACTGTGCTCTATATCTACACATAATCACTTCCACAATTATTCAATGCTCTATGGTCTAGCACAGGGGTGGACAAACTTTTTTTCTCTCGGGCCACATTGGGATTTCTAAATTCAACAGAGGGCCCGCACATATATCATTTTTTGTATAATTATTTTCAGCGGGCCAGAAAAAGGGAAGTTATTTGAAAAAATATATTTAACCCAAAAGAATCAACCCAAATAACATCCTGTAGGCCGGATTGAATGGGCTCGCGGGACCCGCGGGCTGTAGTTTGCCCACCTGTGCTCTAGCATGACGTACTGAGTGTAAGGATTCCTGTATAGTTGTACTATGGTGTAACCCTGCTCTGTTCGTGGATTTGTCCCTGTCCCCTATAGGCTCAGCAGCAAGCTCAACAGCAACAGCAACAGCAACAACAGGTTCAACAACAGCAAGTTCAACAACAACAGGTCCAGCCCCAACAAGTTCAGCAGCAGCAGCAGCAGCAACAACAACAACAACAACAACAGCAGCAGCAGCAGCAGGTAGCGTCGGCCCAGCCCCCCGGTGCCCAGGCTCAGAACCAGGCCCTGGGCATGCAGCCCCTGCCCCCACAGCAGCCCATGGTACGTCCCACTTAGAGGATGATACAGTCAAATTACCCAGGGGCAGTTCCAAAAAGACGGATCAAGTTAGCCAACTAACTGTCCCAAAATATTCAGAATTAACTTTTTCTTTTCGAGAAATATAGATTTGAAATTAGCATGGTAATTGTGGTCCTCTGTAGCTCAATTGGTAGAGCATGGCGCTTGTAACGCCAGGGTAGTGGGTTCGATCCCCGGGACCACCCATACGTAAAAATGTATGCACACATGACTGTAAGTCGCTTTGGATAAAAGCGTCTGCTAAATGGCATATTATTATTATTATTATTATATTATTATAATTGACTTGACAACCACCAAACACATTCAAATTTAGCTTTCAAAATGAACCATAAAATGAAGAGAGATCTGATATATGAAAGATGTGTCACTGTTAGCCGGCTAACTTAACTTAAAGATCCTGCTTGCTGGAACACCCCACAAGTCCAAAATCAAACCCTAGCCCTACCAAGCCTAGATCTATGTCCAACTATCACGCTGACCTGAACAGTTTTTTTGCGTCTCTAACTTTTCAGTGAGGATGGTTCAGTTTAAGGTTAGCACACACTGCTTTTGTCCAGCTTGGTTTAGGCAAGGCATGGCTACTATGCCACTCTGGGTTGGCACCAGCCATGTTATCGGATAGAGGTTTGGGTTGGCACGATAGATTGAAAATAGATTTTATTCATACAGTGTACAAAGCATTAGGAGCACCTTCCTAATGTTGAGTTGCAACCCCCCCCCCTCCCTTTTGCCCTCAGAACAGCCTCAATTCGTTGGGGCATGGGTGTTGAAAGCGTTCCACAGGGATGCTGGCCCACGTTTACTCCAATGCTTACAACATTTATCAAGTTGGCTGGATGTCCTTTGGGTGGTGGACAATTCTTGATAAACACGGGGGGAAAACGGTGCGCCCTGGCACCTACTACCATATCCCGTTCAAAGGCACTTAAATCTTTTGTCTTGCCCATTCACCTTCTGAATGGCACAATCCATGTCTCAATCGTCTCAAGGTTTAAAAATCATTCTTTAACTTGTCTCCTCCCCTTCATCTACACTGATTTGAAGTGGATTTAACAAGTGACATCAATAAGGGAAAATTTTGTCATGGAAAGAGCAGGTGTTCTTAATGTTTTGTATACTCAGTGTAGGTAGGGATAAAGTGACTAGGCAACGGGATGGATAATAAACAGTAACATGTGATGAGTCAAAAGAGATTAGTGCAAAAAAGGGTCAATGCACTCTCACACTCAGTGTTTAAGGATAATATGTGTGTTAGTAATATGGAGGAAACTAAGATACTAAAGAGAGCTAGAGGGAACTACTTCCTCGTTGCCAGTTGTGGCCCTCTCGCGGAGTATTGATATCAGAGATTCACTAGTACGAGACGCTCAGGTCCGTAGCCAGACAAAGGCATGAATATGAATTTTTATTGCATACATTGTCTGTTTTTGTCTTTCAAAAGTTAAACTCAAGTCAACTATTTTTGGGACGAGTTGCATACGCACAAAGGCCCACATTGTGCGTTTTTGGACGGGCAATCAGTCAATCTTGGATTCTAAATCTCTGTCAGACCTCTCTCTGGCCTCGTAATTATTTTTCGAAATGTTGCTAATGAAAAGGTACAATGAGTCCCAAGTCATGGTCACAGTTTAGTTAATTCCTCTCAAATGAAGTATGACATGGCCCTGAGGTTATAGTCTGTCTGTATGTTCAACGACCAAAATGTAATATTGTTTGTGTCTCAGTTCCCACGACAGGGGATGCAGCAGACTCAGATGCAACAGACTCAACAGCAGCAGCAGACCGCAGCACTGGTCAGGCAGCTCCAACAACAACTCTCAAGTAAGAAAGACACTCATCATGTCTATGTACTTTAGTGAGATCTGTTATAGCCTTGTACTAACCCCAGGGTCATGTTCATTAGGCACCAAACAGAAGACAACAGTCTGAAAAAGGGAGGTACTACCTGGATTTGTCCAATAAGAAATGCACGTTTTTGTTTTCTGTTTGGTGCCCTAATGAAACCTCTGATATTGTCAACAGTTCTGACTATCTTATGTTGCATATTGTGCTTTGTAGTCTAAATGTAATCTTATCTTTTCACCATTTCCAGTCATTTTAGGTGTGTTGATAACAAGTGTTTTATTTTATTTTCCCCAGATACACAACCTGGACAGAACACCAACTCATATTACTGATAGTGCTTGTTGTATATTAGTGTGTGTGGAAGAATAGGGAGACCCTGTGTGTGGGAGTGTCCCCAGCCAGCCCGTAGATTGGCAGATGTGTCCAATGCCCAGCAGTCCCCTGTTTTAGAGGTGGAGGCTCTTAGGAGGGAAAGGCTGCTATTGGCCAAGAAGGACAACTAGACAGATGAACCCACAACTTCAGTCTTCATTTCTGAAAATCCAAGGAGGGATTGTGCTGTGAAATATTATGATCATGGAGAATAATGGAAGAGTCTATGTAAAAAAGAAGTACAAGAAATTATAAGATTACAATTTTTTATTTTATTTCAGTTTGTAGAATTTTTCAGTTTAGTGTATTTCTCATTAAAGAATCATGTCAGTTTTTGTCTTGTATTTGTGTTTGGTGCATTCTTTTCATTTGATGAAGAAGATGTCTGAAAAGGGCCAATGTGACAATCAGGCTGTTAATAACCAGGATATTATTAATGATATTGAAAGACTATGAGTCATCATTATTTTCCACTATTGATTGTCCTTAGTATCTTTATTTTTAATTTAATCAGGGTTTGCACAGGTCAGTGATTTTCTGGAATGTCATGGTATTGTAGTATATACATTCCGGACGGAAAGTAATAGAGGAATTGATGCAATCATGGTAAATCATAGAATTTTTGGAAATGAGTATTTTTCCTATTCTTTTTCCACATTGCATTTCCCTGTGAGCTTTTGGCCATTGTCATGTAAATTCTGTAAGGTTGAAGGAATGTCATGGAATATTCTAACAGTGAGAAAGAACCCTGTTAGATATACTGTACGTGTCGCTATTCGCCTAAAAATACCAATCCAATCATCAAAAAAAGCAAGATTTATTTTTTCTGCATGCGAGCTGCTGAAAGGTCTTTTGATCCAAAACCATGCCCCCGCCTCAACATCTTTATGACGATACAGACGAATGACGCTTTCATTGGACAGAGCAATAAGTGGTTGAGCAGCAAATGTACTATAGGCAATTGCTTCGTCTCAAGTGGCACCCTGGTTCTGGTCAGATGTAGTGCACAATGGGAATAGGGTGCCATTTTGAATGCGCTCTATAACCACTTTCTAACTGGCCATAGGCTACCACCCTAATACCAGAGACGATGGAAACTGAATTGTCATGACCACTGATGTACCCAGTCGATGGGGTAAACTCAGTTGTGCACCTTTTTATTTTGTGAATAGGATTTACTTGGGTCAAAACAGGCTAAACTGATGAAGTAATTCATTTAGAAGAATTCAAATCATTGACGTTTCCATCTTGGCCTTCATCAGAATGAAAAAAAAGACGGACACAAAGACAGATTTTAGGATACAAGTAGGTGTGTGTGAGTCGACTAACTTTCGACAAGTGAATGCGTTGGTGGACAGCGCCATGGTGCTGAAATGGTTTGAACCCCACAGACAGGGCAGCACCGAGTCTGGGAATACCGCTGGCTAATTAGGGGTTCAAGCAGCGAAGCCCGCCCCAGTATCTGTGCGTTTAGAAATGTAGACGATGAGTATAACGTGTCTCCTCTAACGCCCAGGAAGCTCTGATTCAAAATCCCATTAGACAGCTCTGCAAGCATTATAACGTTGAAACACGTTTGTCACTCACCAAATATGCAGTTTTGCTGAGCAACTATCTTCATTTACTCCCGTTATGGCCGGTATGTACTTCCAAAAAAGGTCAAAATACAAAATGACAAGCAACTGCCTCTTAGGCACTTCTAATGTAAATCACTCATTACTGCCATGCACAGGTCTGAAGTCTACAGCAGTTCATTACATTGGGGATGCCTGAGGCATTTTTCCTGTTGCTTGTACGTTTTTATTTCGTTTATTTTCTTATCTGTAGAAAGTCATGGAAGATTGAATGTATGAATGGGAACCGTGTTTAATATGGGTCGCTAAAGAACTGTCCACTCAAGAAAAGTGCACAGATGTATAGGGGTTCGTTAGTATCAGTATCTTTGCTGCATGTGCTCAGCTGCTGCTGGGACTTCTGGTCCAAATCTACGCCCCCATCTCAACATCTTTATGACGACACAGACGATTTCATTGGACAGCAATATGGTTGAGAAGCACGAAAGACTGGCTTGCAACCTTGCTCATGCTTAGGTAGCTTTTGCTTCAAAGTTCTGACCAAAACGGTAAGTAAGAAAATGATCGTAGGCGATATATTCAGTTTGCAAGCTAAGCATGTAAGCCATGTTCTAACTGCCCATATAATTACCAGTATGCCTACCCACCTTCTCTCTATTCCACAGGCCAGGACTGAGATATATACAAATTCATCCTTTTACCCTACCTATGCAAATTAATCAACAAAATTATTTGAATCTCCTTAATATTGCATATTGTCATGAATTTTTGTGATTTCAACTTGAATATGTTATTGTGTATGTATTGTAATATCGATGTATATATTTTCAAAGGCTACAATTCAATGTATTTGTATTAGGGGTGTGTGTGTGTGTGTGTGTGAACAGTTCGACATGTCAACGCGCCAATATTTACTAACATTATTTGATATTAGGGAATTTAATTTACGCTATCTGAATTGACCGTTTTTAGGTAGGCAAATGGCCTTCAACTTAGTTTGTTTCACTTAACCATTAATTATTTTGCTAATATTAAATTCATTGAAAGGACAAAGACAAATAGAACCATAGAAATAGAATCTCTATGGATATAACTCACTCCCTGCTCAAATCAAAGAAATTGTCAGACATTGTGATGCTGCATAGTTGCCATGGTAGTACCATTGTTGCCGTGTGTATAGAA